CATCAAGATCAAAACTTTTTAATCACCCTGAAAAGTTTTCTCATGCTTCTTTTTGGTCAAATCCTCTCTCCATTCTAAGTCACTGGCAACCGCTGATCTTTTTTTCATCCCTATAATTGTGCCTTTTCCAGATGTCATGTAAGTGGAATGTTGTGCGTTCTTTTGTTCCTGCCTTTTCTTAACCTATCAGAGTGCTTTTGCAATTCATCCGTGTTGATTCATGTAGTTTGTTCCTTTTTATTGCCCACTAATATTTCATTGTATGGATGTACCATGATTTATCCATTCACCAATCATTGGACATTGGGTGTTGGTTGTTTTTTTGTTAGTTTTTCATTGGACATTTCGGTTGTTTCCAGTTTGGGGCTGTTATGAATTAAGTGCTATGAATATTCATATTCAGGTGTTTGTGTGACATGTTTTTGTTTCTTTTGGGTAAACATCTAAAAGCAGATCCTGTGTCACATTGGTAAGAATATGTTTTTAAGAAATTGCCTAGATTTTTTCCAAATGGTTTTGCCATTTTTTATTTGCACCAGCAAGTATGAGTGTCCAGTTGTTACTCATCCTCATCACTACTTAGTATTGCCAATCTTTTCTAGTTTTAGCCATTTACAGGGTATCTGCAGTAACTCGTCGTTTTCATTTGTATTTGTTAGTGATTGATAATGCTGAGCATCTGTTCTTATGCTTATTTGCCATTTTTACATCTTTAGTCAAGTGTATGTTCAATCTTTCATTCACTTTTAAATTGGGCTGTTTATCTTAAATTGTAAGAGTTGATTATATATTCTGGATATAAGTTCTTTGTCCTAAATGTGTTTTGCATCTGTGGCTTGTCTTTTCCTGAAAGTGTTTTTTTGATGATCTCTAATTTTTAGGAAAACCAATTTATCAATGTTTTTAATGGTTAGTGTGTTTTTCTCCTAAGACTATGCCTAACGTAGGGCCAATTTTTTTCCTTGTTTTTGGTTTTTCCCTAGACATTTAATAGCTTTTTGTTGTTGTTAATACTCACCTGAGGATATCTTTCTATGGATTTTTAGAGAGAGTGGAAAGGAGGGGGAGAGACAGAGAGAAACAGGTTCTTTCCACCAAACTAGTGTTTTTGAGACAGTGCTTTAGGGGTTCTCTGCAGACATTTGCTTGAAATGTAATTTTAAATATTAAAAATCATCTTTAATATGCACATGCAGGTGCAGAACGGGCATTCACTTAGGCTGCCTGAGATCTCACAGTAAGGCCTTCGTTGCTGTGCTTATGTGGGCTTCTCAGAGTCGTTGATCTAGAGGGCTCTGGTTCAGTGCTGTCATCACCTGCTGCAACTCCATGCTAGTGGCTTTCACCATAAAATAATTTTAGTGATTATAGCCATTGGATGATTCTTACTTGATATGTGAAGGGTAAAGACTGAAAGCAGGTGTTGGATATTCTATTAACCTGTTTTTATCAAGCATCTACTTCAGTCTTGTCAATAATAACCAGAGATTGCAGGCAAGCTGTGACTATTACCATTTGCAACCGATTTTCTATATACAGTCAGGATTTTTCTCCGTATCATACAAACAAATTCAGAAATAAATTGGATGCTAAGATAGTTCACAACTACCCATTAGCACTAGTCAAAAATGCCCCCCTTGCAACCTCACTGATTTAGGACAGTGTTTTGACTTGAACTTAGTTCATGCTAGTAATAATATTTTATGTATTTGAAAGGTTAAAAGGAAAACCCAAAACACTGGGTTATATCAAAGCCTTTGATTTTAGTAGCAACTAAGCTCTTTTCCAAGATTTCTGGCTTGGCTAACTCAAAGAGGACCAGGTTAAGGTAACTATTTATCTAAGGCTGTCTTCGCTGTCTTCTAGAAGCACAAGAACACTGAGGGGGAGGGGTCAGGAAAGAATTTTTAATTCAAACTTTGCTATTTATTCATTGGTAACCCCGGATGAGTCTTTGCTGTGCCCTGAGCCTCAGTTTCAACAGAAACCAGGAGGTTGGACTAAATCAGTGACTCTGAACACCAAAACCTTTCTTCAAGTCCGATTTCACCTGGAAGCCTAATACTCAATGGGCCTGGGAGCTCCCTCCCCATGAGGCCTGACAGAACAGCAGGAAAAACATGACACTAATCTAAGGCCTTTCACCTCTAAGTCAGTACTCCATACCCCCTGCTGCCCCTTCCCACCAGGCCATCGATCTCCCAGACAGACTAAGGGGCTGAGCTGATTGATCCCTCATACCCCGCACACTGGTCATAGCATTGACTAGAGAACCTGAACCCAGGGGCTAAACAACTGTCTGTGGGTGAAAATGACACATTTATTTCGTTTTAAATGGTCACTGAGGCTGCAGCAGAATCAGTGCTATTACAATAGGCAGGCACTTACTGTCAGAAGCAACAGTGTATTCCGTAACAGCATCCAAGCCCCCTTGGTTACATGTTTGTTTTCTTTTAATCTTACAAATCAATTGGGAGGCAGTTAAAGGCCAATTTTAAAGCCAATATAAAACAAGTGTCACTGAAAATACAACTGAAATGCAACTGTTATGAGCACTATAATAAAGTTAACTAAGAACTCAGGTATGAATCAAAAGACTAAGTGGTAAATAAAATACAAGAGCAGCATTTAAAACTTTTAATTCCCATTTTAGAGGGTGCCCTTTCCCCTTCCATGCCTTTCCTGCCTCTGTCCGAGCCTAGAAAGAGCCCGTCTGACTGGGGTTGGCAACTGGTATCTGCATGGAATGAACTCTACATACAGGAGGGGAACTAAGGGTCAGTGCTGGTTATGTGCTCAGACAGCGGACAGCACGGCTCATGTTTGAGTCAGAGGCTTAGGAGGGCTGCCTCCTACTCCTGCCTCCAGAAATCTTGTAACTCAGCTTAGAACACATGTTCTTAGAAAATGTAACTACGCAGCTGGGACTCCTGCTATGTTATGCAGATGGAGAGTCGGGGCCCTGCAACCTCTGGTTATTATTATTATAGCCCAGGCCCTTTTTTTAACCCTGCTACTAGCCCTATCTCTGCTGATGCAATCGGGTGGTGCAGCTGGGGACAGGCCAGCTAATGAAATCCTGAGAACGCACCTTTAAATCAGTTTTCATTCTTAAAGAGTCAATAGAGTTCAGGGCTAGGGTTAACAACTTCAACAGGCACGGATCTCCTACTCTTAATGTGCAGCAGCCAAGGATATCAAGGACAACTGCCTGTAATCTTAATTCCCACTTGATATTCTTTGATAGCTAGAAATTACTTAACCCTAAATTCCACTTTGTTCATTCTCCTTTAAATCTGCCACAGTACCTTTTTAATTCTTAGAATATTCTTTGCTAACATAGGAATGAACAGGGAGCATATTAGCAAAATTACTGAAGAAATCATTTTCTATACATCCTCACTAGAAAAGCCCAGTGGATTAAGGCAGCCCTATCATTTTGGGGACTGGGATAAGGAGGCCGAAGTATAGAAAGAAGGGAAATACTGAATGAGTACCAGGATAGGAAAACTCAGAGCAGCTGAGTTGCTGGTACTACCCCATTCCTTCAGACCAAATCCCTCCACATGATGGACGGCCTGAAGAAAGCTGGCCTTGTCCTTGAACCATTCTCCACATACAGCCATCTTCACGGGGCAAGTCCTTGCCTTCAACCCACGCTGTGCAGGTCCCTGCAGCTCTCCACCTGTGGCATCAACAGCCTTGCTAGGTTCTGTTGGTGTTTGAACTCAGAGGATTAAGCCATTAGACCTCAGAAACAATAAGGGCTGTGTGTAGACACACCTTGGCTATGAGACAGATTTTTTACAAATTGGTCTGAACACAGACTGGTGGGCTCCGTGCTGGACTGAAGGCAGCTGAGACAGCAGCTTCTCCTCCCAGAAGACAGGCTAATGCTCAAACGTGGGTGGAAGGCACTTGCAGCTTTCACACTAGAACCAGCTGAGCTTGTTTTAAGTGCTTGTGTTCTAGGCAGAGAGAACATTTATCCAGAAATTGACCCTGGAAAGCCTGCCTCAGAGTTAAGGCCCTCCGAGCAGGTCCCTTTAAACAAAGCCCAACCAGCACAGCATGGAGATAGTGGGCTGGGGACCCCAGAGCTGAGCACCACTCAACACCAGCCTTCCCGAGGGAAGAACTGCGTGACAGTGACACACGGGGAAAGACAATCCCCTCTCTGTGAAGAGGAAGAGCTAGCCAAGACGTGATTAGAAGCTATGGCCCTGCTGGCTGTGTGGCTGGTTGCATACCTAAGAAACAGGTTCCCCCCTCTGTGGAGGGAGGAAAGAGACCCCTAGTTAGGCACATAATCCAATCACATCCCATTCAGCTTCTGTCTAAAGTCTCTCATTCAAGAACAGACAAAAGCACTATCTTTTTTTGTTTTGTTAGTCCTCACTAGATTTTTCCCCCTACTGATTTTTAGAGAGTGGAAGGGAGGGGAAGAGACAGAGAGAGACACGTGGATTGGTTGCTTCCCAACTGGGGCCAGGGATCCAGCCTGCAACCAAGGTACATACCCTTGACTGGAATTGAATCTGTGACCCTTCAGTTCCCGGGCTGATGCTGTAATCACAGAACAAACCAGCTAGCCATCCTCCCCCCCAACATCTTTCACTCCACTGGGTAGGGGTGCCCTGAAATCAGAGCAGCAGCAGCAAAAAAAAAAAAAAAAGAGCTTGGAGGCCAGAGGTAGTTTTAATTACTATTGATGCTCAGTTCTTCAGATGAGTAAGAACCACTTGATTGTTACGGAGCCTGACTGCTTCTTTTTTAGCTTTGGAAGCTAATGTTAGGGGCAAAACCACCATGGAAATGTGTTTCAGTGCTTGGGCATCATGGTACAGTTCCTTGCCAAGGTCCAGAGTTGAAAAGAAATCTAGTTTTCCTTTGCCAAAGTCCAGGTTCCCAGCAGCACTTCAAACTGCTTCTGTGTAAGACGGAAAAGGGATAAAGAGGAGATAAACCAGAAGGGAAAAAATCGGAACGTGTTAGCAAACTACCATGCGGAACACTAAACTTTATTCACTTTATTTATATATTTAACAGTTCTAAAGTATTTACTTCTTGCTTTGACAAAAAATGAAAAATATAGGAGCACTGACTGACTCCTCTTTAGGAAAAAGGGGTTATATGTACAGCTACGGAGAGTTACGGCTCCTCCTTTACATACAAAGGAAAATATTAAAAAAGTGCTTCATTGATCAAAAAAGGGCTAAGAGCTGCAAGCATTTATTCACACTGTACATCAGACCCAAGAAACCCGTATCATAACCTCTTGGCACCTGTCACTAAGAAATGCACAATCTTCAGTTAGACTGACTTCTCCCTATCTGCACGGGAAGACCACACAGAGTGTGGAGAACAACACCCTGTTTCACGAAATTCAAACTCCGCAACCTGCTGCCACTGGGAAGTCGGGCTCGTGCTCAGGTGCTCTTGGCTTTGCCTGGATTGGTTGCTTCAGGGATGGCTTCTGGGCCCCATCTTAACCATGTCCAGGCACACACAGGAGCCACCTTCCTGAGACAGAGCTTGTCTTGGAACAGGGAACCGCTTCCAGAAAGCGTCAGAAGAGTTCCCTGGTCTCATCCCCACCACTCACCACAATCCGCCTTGTGACCACTTAGCAGCTTCAGCAGACCCAAGCATGGCCCTACCCACAAAAGGGAGGGCAGGCACAAAGCATGGATGCCAACCAAGATTACAATGCACAAACCTAAACTCTCCACCCCTTCCCCATACCCACCTCCACCACAAATATTCTTGATTTAAGGCTCTTTGGGGACCACATCAAAGCTTACTGAGGGGAGGTGCCCTGAATTGCTTACGGGCTGTGTCACTTCTCTAAGGACTGCAGAGTCACCTAGTGGGCCCTCACTGCCGCCAGCAGCACAGGAGCAGGGCAGGAGGAGGAAGGCTGATTGTATGGGACATGCCCCATTTCCAGAGGCTTCAACTCTAAAAGGCTGATTCTACCCCTTAAGGGGGAGGTCCATGATTTGTTGGTTTTGGGAGTGGGGAATTTTGGGAACCCTGAGTCTGGATCTCCCTGTGCTAGCCAAGGACAAGAGATTGTTTGGGGGACCAGGTGCCTGGGCTCAGGGCAGGCTTTGGCCTTGGCCACAGCAATAGCACTCTGGCCAGTCTGCACTTTTATGCCTGAGAGTGGGAAGCATGGGAAGCACTACACAGCCTGGCGAAGGGAGCCATAGATCAAGCTAAACACAACCCCATGGGGAGAGCACGCTGACCACCCATCTCCAGCCCCTCCCCTCTCACTTGCCTCAGAACAAACACCTTCCTTCCCCCGAAAGCCAATCTCAACTGTCTGTAGGTGGAACTGGCCCCTTGCAGGGGGGAGAGGGCACCCAGGGTAATGCTCTTAGGGGAAGATGCTTCCAGCCAGCTCTGATGTGGCGTGAAGAATGGTCACAAATGTTAACACTGGCTCTTCCCCCTACATTATCTCAGGCCTCCACTCCTGACTCTGACCAGCCTCCTTCCATCCTGAGAAACCAAGCCAACCCTCAGCATCGCCTAACAACAGGCGGCTCTATAGTTACATGGGGCCTGGCAATCTCTGGTATTCCATTAAATTTTTTTTCCTTTTTTTTTTTTTTCCTCAAGACAACCAGGGGAACATGGAAAGGGGAGATTAAAAAAAAAAAAAAACAGGAAAGAAAAATCAATCTACAATCCAGTGGTACATCCCAAATTTCTGTCACTCTGCACAGGTGGTTCCAAGCCCCCATTCCAAAGTGCACGGGCCTCTCGGTCTGCCAGGCTGCGTGGGCCTGTCAGAGGAACAGCAGCTTGGCCTCTGCCTGCCCCAGGTCACGTAGCTTCAGTTTGAAGTGGCAGCAATGGGCTTATCCAGTTCAAGGTCAATGCTGGAGCTCGTGGGATGTAGGCTGCTATAGCAAGACTTGCATACTCGACTGGGTTCAAAGAGCTGCTGGCTGGGAACTGGAACCTTCTGATTACAACAACTGGAGCAGAATACATTCCCACAATTCCTTGAGGTGAGGAGAAGAAACAAAACAAAATTAGTTTTGGTAGCAGATATGGGTGGGGGAACCAACTTCAGAAGACAGGACTTAGTTGTGTGCAATTCAAATGTGCTGGAGACTCCTCTAAGAGTGAACTTTCATTTGTCTAGCCAAGAAAAAGCCAAGCAGAGAGGGGATCCCTACCTATCAGTCACAGCCTCATCACTATGGCTCAAGGTTACCCGGTCGACAGGAGGATGTTGCTCATGAGAGATCTGTGAAAGCAAATGGGCCCAGGGCAGAAGCAGCTGCTACTATGGGTAAGTCCTGGCCCAGGAAAATCCCGTGGCCACACCCACCTGGGCAACAGCCTCTATGTAGCGTGTGATCACAGAGAGGCCAGAGGCCAGTGGAACTCCCACAAGCCCTGCAGATGAGAGAAAACACCCTGCCCAGCTGGGGAGTGAGGAGCCTTGCCCAAAGGACCACTGCCCCAGAGGCTCCCAGGCAGCAACAGCAACATGGAGAATAGATTGCTGCCATCTAGGACTGCTCTGCGCCCAGCATGCAAAGCCAGAGACAAGCAACCAGTGACAGACACATGCTCAGTGTGAAATGACAAGAACACAGATGAACACACATGCCCTTATTAGATAGGTATCAGTCAATTATGGCTCACTTCCCTGCCCCCATGCAACTCCAGGGACTATCCACTCTACCTGAAGGCCTGACTGGTACCCAGGCCTCATGCCTCCCCTCTCCTCCACTTGAAAGCCCACCCAGGGCTGCACACCCACACAAGACACCTCTTCACAGCTAACAGGAAAGGAACTGGCAGAGGATGAGTTTCTGCCCACCTTACAAACCCACTTTTGATGGGCCTTACAGGACAAACCAATCCCAATAAGCCAAGAACAGGAGATTCCAAGGAGCCTAACACAGCTCGCCAAAGATTTGGGGAAAGCAGCAAAGGGAAATTCTTCTTAGCCAACATCACTCACTGTTTTTTCATTTACGTTCCTTAGGATGCAAACCCAGTACTGGTTTAAGGACCAGCTAGGCACAGAGGAGAGAATACTGAATATCTTTTCAGGACAAAAACCACAAAAGGAAAAGTCTAGACACAGGGTAATGGAAGGACAGAAAACTAAAACACACAAAACTTTTTCTAAAATACAGTAAGTACTTCACAACTCTGTTCTGAAAAGCATGTCAGCAAGAACCTGTGGTTACACAGAAATATTACCTCAATCTGTTTCTGAATATTTACATTTATTTAACACACCTGCTAGAGTTCAGCTCAAAAGCCTGACATAAATTTGATCAGTTAAGCTTTTCAATCTGACTTCAGGGGATCCTGACAGACCCTATGTGGAGTCTTCCCTTAAAGTCTTTCATGTTAAAACAATTCTCTGGAAAGACAACCTCTGTTCATTTCTGGTCTCTTTTAAAAAAAAAAGAGCAGTGATGCTGTTTGACTTAGAAGTCATTAGCATTATTCTGGCATCTCAGAGAATGATTGGCCACCCCCAAAAAACTCTAAAAATCCAACAGGTTATCCCACAAGAACTGCTGAAGCACTGCTTCTTGTCACAAGCAAGATGGCCGCGTTGACCTGTGCAGTCAGGAGAGGAGTGCAGGGCTGCAGCCTGACTCGGCCCTAATGGTCTGCTCAGCTGGCTGCTTTGGTTCTCCCAGAAGCCCACCTGCCTGCCTGTGCTCCCAGCCCCAGGTTACATCCCAATGAGTGTGGAGAGGGGGAAATGGCGCGTTAGTGTGAAGTTATTGTAGATATGCAGACATCACAGACAGGTTGTTGCAAATGCTCACCACGTTTGATCAACACGGTCAGTGTCCCTGCAAGGAGGGGAGAAAGAGCTCAGAGGAGAAGCCAACCAAAGACATTTGGGCTTGGGGTGCAGGGTAGGGAGATATATAGTCCTAGAAGTATCATTACTCGACAAAGAGGTGACTCCATTTTTTGTCTGGGATCACTCTGGTGTGTAAGCTATACCATGATTCATATAAACTTCCTATACCAAGAACACTGACCATCCTCTAGTCATCACCCCAGGTGGGGCAAAGCATCAGTAGTAACTCACTACCCAACCAAGAAGGAAGGAAGAAAGCCTAAAGGACTAAGGACTGTCCTCCGCTGTCCAGCTACTATCCCCAGCTACTTTTGCTCACCACTAGCAAAAGGAAACCAAGTTTGGGGTCAGGAAATAGGATAAGAAGTAGGAAAAATGAAGTTCCCTGCCCACAACTGGAAAACTATTGTGCTCATAGCAGCCATGTTGAATGGGAGGCAGTTTTATTTGAGGAATAAGAAATGGTGATTTGAGAGGTGGCTATTGCTCCACCAATCCAGGAAGCAAAACAAAAAGGGACATAATTTGCACATTTCAAAATTCAGTCATGATCATTGTGAACTGGAAGAAAGACACCAAATGCAGTTCTGCAAACACCAATTTCAGAGGCACAAAGCATGAGTTAGAAGTCCTATGGACCAGGGGCCTGTCTTAAGACAGAACACAGCCAGCCAGATGCCTGCATCTCTCATCTACAGGCTCCATGGACCAAATCTCAACCCCACACCCTGGCCCACCACACCCCCAAGTGGCACCTGCAGTGGTGTTTCCTGCTGGCGAGCCAGAAGGCGCTGTCACACGCATAGCAGTGGGCAGCCAGGTGGTCAGGGAGCCAACGGGTCATCTGTAAAACAGATGGGGCCAGATTAGTAACAGGAAATGGGCCATCCAGCTGTTGCCAGCAGAGCCATGCTGGGGGCAGCAAGAGTCACAAAGACCGTACTGTCTCTGGGGGCACCAGACCAGCAGGTCTGATGTCAGCAGTACAAGAAAGGCGTCCAAATCATTTTCCTGGAGGGGACTCCAAACTCCCCTGAGATAAAATGGCAGGCAGCAGCAACTTGGGTCACCATGAGAGCTGGCAAAGCTCCAGTTCATACAGGCAATGAGGAGATAGGGCCAGCTCGTTGAGTCTCCCTGGCTCAATAATTCTAGGCTCCATGGGATCCATGGGGATTCACAGGCGCGGAGATTCACAGAGGCTCAAGGCTAAGAGTGCTATGAGGTGATTCCTTGCCCAGGGGAAGGGTATAGGGATGGGGGTGGAGAAGAACTGCAAAACAGTTGCATGGATGGCACTCAGAACAGGGGCTGAGCCTGTACCTCCGTGTCCTGTTTATCCACCTGCTCCCAGCTGGCTTCAGAGAAAATCTCTGTGCTGCAGCGAGACAAAGAGTTCTGATCCAGATTGCTTTCCGAGTCGGGGATTGAAGTCTGTTGGCAAACAAACACAGCTGAAGAGAATGGACCTGGTCTCCTTCCTGAAGAAGAAGAAAGGGCTTGGAAAAGAGGAGGGAGCACTGGGGACTTTGGGTGGGCCTTGGTGTTAGGGCTGCCGAATCTGTAGGTACAGTACATCAGCCATCAAGAACTGGGTTGAGCAGGTGCAGAGACAGGGTTGAGCTCAGCTGGAAGAGAGATACACAGGTCTAAGGCTGTGTGCAGTGATTCTGGGCCTTGGATTCCAGGAAGTGAGTGGGGCAGAAGTGACCAGGATGGAGTGGGAACTCAGTGTCAGCTGCTCCAGTGGGCCTGACAATCCAACCCTGCCACTTACATCTGTGTGTTGAAACTGAGTGCTTTGGGCCTGTCCTCCTTTCTCTGAAGGACTCTTGGGAAAATGAGAAATCATCATTAGTGTGAAGGAAAAACCGAGAAGTCAGTTTTAATTGAAAGTCATTGATGAGCCCGCCTTTAATGTACGCTGACTGCCTCAGAGCCAGGTTCACACTTGTCCATCAACACCGAGTACTTGAACATTAGCACACCCAGTAAGAGAGAGCCTCCTTGATAATCTCCCCTCAGGTACCCCCACTTGGTTACCAGGCCCCATCATTGCTAACTTCACAGCGCTAGAAATCAATCACTTCTCCATTTCAACTGCCATCACCTGCCACAGAGTAGATATGAATATCCGTTAAAAAAGAACTAAACCTGTGCCCGTACAGCCCAGGTGGGGTGGGTAGGTGGGTGGGTGGTGCTACCAGGATAGGACAAGCACTACAATTTAATAGGAATAGTTGCCATTACCCTACAAATGTCATTCTGCCCAGGAGTTTATGCCCTTAACTATGATCCTCCCTCCAAAGAGTCTTGACTGACCATGTAATGAGTGCTCACTCTCTTCCTTATTCTGACTGCCTAACTAGGACCCCCGTGGAAAGTAAGCAAGGCAGAAAAGAAAGAGGCAGACTGCCATTCGCATGGCTGCCTTTCCAATTCTTTGAGAAATCTGTACAATCACCATGCACCAGTCACAAAGGGTGTCCAGCCTCAGTGTGCCCTGCTTCCTGGGGTGGCTGTGAAGCACAGTATACTCACCACTTCATCCCCAAAGTCCCCATTGAAGCGTAGAGAGCTGGTCAGATACTGGCTCTCCAGGCGACTCCTCAGTTCCTGGACTTGTTTCTTCAAGGTCTCCACTTCCTGTTGGTGGCCTGATTCAATCTGACGTAGGCGCTGTTGGATAGTGTCCGTATACACAGGCATGCCGTCATCGTCCAGGTGGCTGCGAGAAGGCTGGTCAGGGCTGCCAGTTGCAGATGGCCTCCCTGTCTGGCTGTGTAGCCACTTGTGGTGCAAGTTCCTCGAGTGTAAGTGGGCAGAGCTGCAGCTTATAGCAGAGAGCTGGCAGCTCAGTGAGTCCTTGCTCCTACCAGCCTCCCCATTGGCGCAATGCCCGTTGGGGGTGGGGTACTCCTGGAGGGTGCTAAGCCCTGGGGGCTGCTCGGAGGCCTTATTTTCAGTCTCTGGGACACCGTTGCACACAAGTCCCTCTTTACATTCAGCTACAGGCAAGGCACAAGGAGAGCGTGCTGGGCTGTGGGTGCTGCCAGGGGAAGTCCTCTGCACCACAGATCCCGCTTGGGGCCTCTCGGCCAGGCTCTTCTCTGGGGGCCTGGGTTCCACAGCTTGAAGCACGTCCTTGCCACTGAGCCTGCCGCTGTTTACCAGGCAAGGTCTATGAGGAGGCCCACTTTCCGACTTCACTTTATCTTCCATTAACATGTCCAAAGAGCTGTCTATGTTTGGTCCTCTGCCCTCAAATGGGACTTGGGAGAGCAGCGGAGGACTTGACTGTGAGGTACCATAACCAATTTTTTCATCAACTGGGATTGTAGTCATTGCTTCCTCCCTCTCCTCTGCGATATCTCCTATTTGAGGCTGTTCTACAGGGACCTCCAGTACCTCCTCTCCCATGGGGGGCTCCTGGAGAGAGCTGGGAAGAACACTGTGCCCGCCCTGCTGGTCAGGGAGACCCTGTGAGGAGAGAGGAAGGCTGATGCCTGGAGGGCTCCTCAGAACAGCAGGATCCAGTGGTGGTGCTTGATGAAGGACAATGGCTGAGTCCTCAGGGGCCTTCCCCCTGCTTTCCTTTTCTACGAGAGCCTCCTCTGTGCCCTCCTGCATCAGGACGCTCCCCCTCTGGACAGTCTCCTCTGCCCCACTCTCCTCTTTGGTGGCCTCTTGCAAAATGTTCTCCATCTGCCCCTCAGCCACTCCAGCTGCAACAGATAGTTCTGCGCCTCCCAGCACTTTGGTTGGCTTGCCCAGGCTGTCGGGATCAAGAGGCTCCTCTCCAGGACCAGCCAGGCTGCTTAACTCCAGGGAGCGCCTGTGCTGGTGCTCCTGCCACTTCTCATTCAGGCTTGGGTCGCTACTGCGCCGGCTGGCTAGAGGCACCGTGTTGTCGCAGGCTGTGGTCAGATTGTCAAATGATCTAGTCTTTGGTAGCCTAAAACAAAGGAATGTGGGTGAGATGAGACTCTGAGGCTGCTCAGATGGAAAGTAGGAAACAACAGATTTTAACAGGTTGTCATTTCACAATTGGGTCCATTATAACTACTCAAGGAGCTATGGCCTCTCTGAAGTGAGGCTCAGACTGCTAGAAAGGCAAAGCTCCAGGACCAAGCCTTCCTTGAGTCTGCAGACTCCCTCCTGCACACCCTCTACCCCATGCCCAAAATATACAAATAAGCTAGTAGCAAATGCTACTTTAAGAAGTCGTCCTTGTGCTCGCTTTGGCAGCACATATACTAAAATTGGAACGATACAGAGATTAGCATGGCCCCTGCACAAGGATGACACGCAAATTCGTGAAGCGTTCCATATTTTAAAAAAAAGAAAAAAGTCGTCCTTTATGATACTGTTTCTCAACTACTGGCAAAGGAAAGTGAGTGCTAATTTCCTGATATCTCTCATTTTAAATTTATTATTTATCAGTCTGAATTCAATAAAGTTAATTCAGTGGCTGAAACTCAGGCCAGAGGGTCACAAGGAATCCAGAGGATTTACAACATCACTAAAAACTGCTCAGTGCCTGCAGCAGAGTGATGTAGTGGCAGGGCCCAATGAGGCTCTTAAATATAGCTAGTGGCCCAGAACCCTTATACCTTTCCTGAGGAAACTTCAGAGATCTAAGAAAACGTGTGGAGCCAGCCAATGTCAGGATCTCTGACCAACCCTGGGTATCCTAACAGGAATACACCACACAAGACTTAAGGCCTTGGCATCAACTCTGTGCTCACCGGCTCAGGAGTGGATCATCAGGGCTGTTGCCAGGGGCTGGGTATGGTGCACAGCTGTCATCCACAGGGGTGGACGGGGATGGGCAGGGCAGGTACACTGCACTCCACAGCATCAGGTTACGCACATGGCACACAGGGTACAGCACCTGAAGAGAGAGTAGAGGACGCAGGTTTCAACAAGTCCTTTAGAGATGTCTAGAAATAAAGGTCAAGAACAAGCACCATGCTTGAACAACCAGCAGTTTTTGGCAAATCTCCAAAGGAAGTTAGCATCAGTGGATACAAGTCTATTTCCCAAGAGGGCCGATATAAGATTAGAGTTTTGGCAACATTTTTCACCTGAGAGGCTCCTGTAAGCATGAACACTTGAAGTGGTCTTTTTAAAATCCATTTCTCAGGTCACCTTTACTGAAAGACTGACTCATCAGCTTAATTGGTTGCTTTTTCTACATAAGCGAGTCATTTCACTACATGGTGACCGTTCTCTGGTACAAAAACTTGGCTTCAGAAGACACTGACCTATTTTATAGGATCATTTTAATTAATCATGTGAAAAGGAGGGAAATTTCTTCCTGTATTGTTACTTCCCCAACAGGCACAGTGAAGGAGAGAAGCAGTTACGTCAAATCTTTCCTCTCTACTTAAATGTGGTGAAAAGCACAATAATAGTCCAGCAAAGCAATAAAAACTCTGACTAGCCTTTAAGATGCATTCTGACAAAAGACACATTACCGTATATCAGCACACTGATGTGAGTGCCTCCTTTTCTCTGCTTAACAGAAGGTGTTCCTTTGAGGAACAAAGTCTTAGAGGGCCTGCCAGTTCTCCATGTAAGCACAGAAATAAAGACACGCATGCTAACGTCACACAGTTTCTGCTCTCTGGAACAGACGCTGCTGTGGATATCACCACCGGATGACACTGTAAGGGTGCTGGGGGACAGGTGGCAGCTCCTTCTGAGCTACCAGGGGCACCCAGGGACAACTCAGGAAAGATTCATGTTTACAGTGGCAGAGATGTATATGAAATCAGACCACCCTGAATAAAATGTCAGAAGCAGGTCAGAGCATCACTAGAAAACAGGTCTTTCTCTCAGGACAAAGTGATAGGAAAAACATGAACCAACCCATCCAGAGACCGCAGAGATGCCTTTGAGAAAACAGTTACTACTCAAAAAGGCTCTTAAATGTCCCCACCAATAAATTCCTTCTGCTGATCAGAGAGGAAAGACTGAAGGATACATACGGCTTCTGACTGAGAGGAATACAGTAGGTTTTTGAAAGCCTTGTTGCCTGCCCGAAGCAGCGACCACACGGAGCATGTCCGTTCCTGAGTATGCTTTTCCCCTCTCTCCTTGGCGTTGTTGCACAGGAATGTTCCAAAGAGGCAGGAATAGGTATGTTGCACCAGTTTCACCTATGGGAGTCCAATGAGGCAAAATCAAGCAATAGGGTACATATTCTCTGGGGAAAGTTCTTCCCAGTCATCCTTGAGAGCACTTCCGTTCACACTCGGTAAGAATGGGAGAAGCAAGTAAAATCACGCAATAGCCACCTCCTAACAGCACCAATTTCAGAGTGCCAACCCCAACCACCATGACTCCTAAATCAAAAGAGCAAAGACAGATAATTGGCATACCCACTCCTCTTGCCTCCCCGACAGTCTCTGAGGTCCTAAGTTAACAGTCACTCTCAAGAGTGACAGAGCATATAAACTGCATACAGGAGCAGGTTAGTGTGCAACCCAAGTCTGAACTGGGAGCACACTTCTAAATGGCTTTTCATTCAACAAGTGGTTACTGAGCATCTCACATACTCCAGACGTTTCTATAGGGCTGATATACATCAACTAGAGGCCTGGTGCACGAATTTGTGCACCAGTGGGGTCCCTTGGCCTGGCCTGCGAGATTGGGCCGAAACTGGCTCTCCAACATTCCCCCAGGGGTCCTGGATTGCAAGAGGGCACAGGCCAGGCCGAGGGACCCCACCGGTGCACGATCGGGGCCGGGGAAGGATGCAGGAAGTTGGCCAGCTTGGGAGGTAACATGGGAGGGCTCCAGGGCGTGTCTGGCCTGTCTCACTCAGTCCCCATTGGCCGGACCCCAGCAGCAAGCTAACCTACTGGTCGGAGCATCTGCTCCCTGGTGGTCAGTGCACGTCATAGCATTAGCATATTACGCTTTGATTGGTTGAACAGCCAACTGGACAACCGGACACTTAGCATATTAGGCTTTTATTATATAGGATAATCAAGTAGCTCTCCTACACTGAGGGAAAGAGGAATGACCAGTGGTATGGACAACAATAAGGTAGAGTAAGAGGGGCAGGGCAGGGTGGGACAGCCTCCCTGGCCCAAGACTTGACAGAATGAAGAGAGGTCATGTGGGTGTCTGGAAGGGAAATGCTCAGCAGAGGTGACAGCAAGCACAATGGTCTTAAGGTGAGTGTATGCCTGTGATTTCTGAGGAACAGATGGAGGCCAGAATGACCAAAGGACACTGCATAAGAAGAACGGCAGGAAATGAAGCTACACAGATAACCTCTGAGGGAGACCTGCAGGCCATCATTAAGGACTTTGACTTTTACTCTGTAAAATGGAAAGTTGGAGGTTTTTCAGCAGAGGAGTAACATGGTCTATATTATGCTTTAGAAGGATCCCTTTGGCTGCTGGATTAACTCTCTTAAATTGGGGCAGGAGGTGATGGTTTAGACGAGTGTGGAAACAGTGGAGACAGCAGTAAATCAGGTTTTAGGTGTATTTTGAAAGCAGAGCTGCAGAATCTGCTGACAGACTAAATCTGGAATGTAAAAGAAAGAGAGGAAATACAGATAGAGAAGCGGCCTACAGGCTGGGCCTGGGGCATTCCAAAATTCAGAACGGGGCAGATAAAGAGCAACTGGCAAAGGAGGCAGAAAGGACCAGCCAGTGAGATAGAGGAGAACTAAGATACAGTGCATGCTGGAAGTCATTTGTTTCAAGTGTTTCAAGAAAGAAGTGATTAAACTGCCAAATACTAATGGATCAAAGATGAAGACAGTCAAATGGTACAAACTTCCAGTTATAAAATAAGTTATGGAGATGTAATATACAGCATGGTGACTATAATTAATTAATACTGAATTGCATATTTAGAAGTTGAAAAGTTCTTGTTACAAAAAAATAACTATGGTGATGGATGTCAACTAGAATTATTGTGGTGCTCATTTCACAATATACACAACTATCAAATCATTATGTTGTTTACCTGAAACTAATTATGTTACACATCAATTACTCCTCAATTTAAAAGAGATGAATGTACACAGACTGATAGAATTTTAAATAAATGGGAATTAAGTATTTTAAAAGATGAAGACTTAGAGCTTATCACTAGATTAGCAACATGAAGGTCACTAGGCACCTTAACCAGAGTGGCCCTGATAAATTAGTGGGGTGAACACCTGATTGGAATAGGTTTAAGAGAAAATGGAAAAATAAGATTTTGAGATAGTAAATGTAGAAGACTTGAGCTCTACTGTGAGGAAATGAAATAGCTAGAGGGGGCTGCAGGACTAAGAAAAGTGTGATGAGATGAGAGCCACTACACTTTAAACCAACTCCAAAACTATACAAACCTAGTACACCTAGAGTCAAAGAATAAACACTTGTTTTTTACTGTTGTTTTAATTTTTAAAATGGGAGAAAGAATGACTCCTCTTAAATTCTAAAAAGGATACACAGATTCAAGTGAAAATGGCCCACTACCATTTGTATTGATACCCCACGAATTTAGAAAGTCCCCAAAATGAAGAACCACATGCCCAAACTCACAAGGAATGCTTCATTGAACTCAAAAGAGCAAGGAAATTGCCTCTGAAGCTGATGAACACAGTCAAGCCACTGCAGAAACACTGGGCAACGCTCGTTGAGATCATCAGAGTTCTCCCCGTGACCACACCGATCAGCAAACTTGTGACCAAAATCCAGCCACTCCATCTCCACGAGGACCTGGAAACCCTGCAGGGAAGCACACAAGAAAGACCATTTGTGCTTGTCTGTCCAGATTATGACAGTCCTGGGCCTGGTGTCACTAGCAGTGAACCCTTTAACAGCCTCCCAACTAAGCCCATCAGAAGCAGCCCTGGATCCAGCCTTGAGGCTGAAGGCTGCATCCCTGATAAGATATATTTAAGCCAATTTCCCCATTCCCTCAACTTTGTTCAATAATCATCAAAAGGGTACTAAGCCTTTCTTGAGTTAATGTATATTTTTAGCCTCTTTCACTCACTATATGAAAGTCACTATTTTTTTAAATATATTTTTTATTGATTTTTTACAGAGAGGAAGCGAGAGGGATAGAGAGTTAGAAACATCCATGAGAGAGAAACATGGATCAGCTGCCTCCTGCACACCCGCTACTGGGGATGTGCCTGCAACCAAGGTACATGCCCTTGACCGGAATCGAACCAGGGACCCTTCAGTCCACAGGCCGATGCTCTAGCCACTGAGCCAAACTGGTCAGGGCTGAAAGTCACTATTTTCGCCCTAACTGGTTTGGCTCAGTGGATAGAGCGTCAGTCTGCAGACTGAAGGGTCCCGGGTTCGATTCTGGTCAAGGGCACATGCCCAGGTTGAGGGCTTGATCCCCAGTAGGGACGTGCAGAAGGCAGCTGATCAATGATTCTCTCTCATCATTGATGTTTCTATCTCTCTCCCCCTTCCTCTCTGAAATCAATAAAAATATATTTTTTAAAAAGTCACTATTTTCCCCTAAATTTCTTATTTACTTTTTAATTTCTGTCTTTCCTATTATACCTACAAAGAAAGTAATGTTTGTAAAATCTTTCCTAACCTCTGATTTACATATATTTTAGGGTACATTTATGGTTTTTCTTATATCTTTAAGCCATCAGCAGGTTATTTCAGAGTAGAGCTCTTTCTCCATAGAATACTGTGGTAATATTTATGACATAGTATACCAAGATCCTTCTATAGAAGCCCCATTTTCGTGGAGCAGGGAAAACTTTTCCAAGTAGGTAGACTACAAAGGAAAATATGCTATATTCTCAATACTTTATTATCGAAATCTGTGCAATTTAAGAGGCAAAAACTGTGGTAGGCACCACTACAATTTAGCTCAAGGTAAAAGAGCAATGATTTAAAACAAGAAAATTTCACTTTCATTAGACCTATCCACACAACCAAAACTGATCATAAAACCCTCTAATGTGCCCCCACTCACCCTGAAGTACCAAGTCCTACTCCTTGGATGCACCCACCTCTATGGTTCGGTAATAAGGGTCCAGCAAGAGCTTAGCCAATGCCACAATCTGGGGGGTGCGGTCCCAGCCATCTGAGCAGTGCACTAGCACTGGTCGCTGATCACGATCCACAGCATGCACTACCAAAAGTGCCGACTTCAAAAGCACAGACAGGTGATGGAGCCATTTTGTACTTTCAAGAGCTGAGAGCCAACTAGAAAGATAAAAACAGAAGGGGATAAGGGAATGCTGACTCTTCTGGTTACATCACTATGTCATGCCAAATACCCATCAAATTAAACAGCAATTCCCAAAGACTTTCCCTTCAAATAAACATTGCCAGAGCAAACAGAAAACCTGTCTCTGTGTCTTTATAAAACATGTACAAAGATGATGCCCAAACCCTACTATGCAATAGAGCAGCGGTCGCCGACCTTTCGGACCTCACGGACCACCGGCTGGCAACCGCTGCAATAGAGGAGAGCCTTAGAAATAGGGCAGCCATCAATAGGACCACCTGTTGTTTCAAAAATCTTATGGCTAATTTCCCATAAAATTAATATTTAATATTTTTCAGTCTGTGATAGGTATATACCCAGTTTAAAAAAACATAATTCTGGAATCTTCTCTTGAAGAAAATGCAGCCACTTCTGAGATGTAAAACAGAAGATATTTAGATATTTATATTTAATGATCAGCAACTTTATCCAACAAGTTTTCAAAAAAAAAGTACAGGAAGTTCGTTTAACAGAGACTGGATTCAGCCGGGACCCACAAGACCCTTTTTTCAAAAGGCCTTTAGGAAGCATCAGATCACAAGCATTGCCCCTTGAGAGTAATCACAAGCTGATCACACTTGTCTTTTAACTGTTGACAGTTTGTTTCTTGTCATGAATTCCACCCTCCCTTTCCCCCACCCCCAAAAGCTCTCTGATTTCTCCAAAATGTAATCAGATTTGTATTAAGCCAACAGTGTAGCCCTTCAAACACCGAGTCAGAGGAGGGAATAAGTACTTCTGCTAGGGGTCTCTGAGAGGGCTGTTGCCAAGATTACTATAAACAACTATTAAACCTCGGGAATGAGTGTGACTTTTTGGAATAATCCAAGGCGGGGAGGTAAATAGACTACAGAATGTAGTGCATAAGCTTTGATTTCACATGGATTAGCTTGGTCTACCAATCAGACCCTAGATCCTCAGAGGGCGGACACTGTATCTCAGGCATAGCTGAAAATCATGGGTAAAAAAATGAACAAACAAAAAAGCAAAACTCAATCTCAAAACATTCTATCTCCTAAGAGGGACCCGAACACATTTTTTGCTAATGGATAAATTGTTTATTCTCATTCCTCACAGAGTCCTGAAGAAACTAAAAGATAAGGCATAGGAGAGAAAATACTGCATTATTTCCTGGCCCCTGGAGAAACAGTAACTGAGAACAAGTGTGAGGCTCTCTTGACCTGACTAAACTATTCACACTTACCAGGTGGTGCTGCCATGCCTGACAGAAGCTGCACTACAGAAGCGGCCAACCAAGGAGGTGCTGAGGGACTGCACACTCCGTGCCTATTCTACAACGAGTAGGAATACACCGTGCCCCAGCCTTCCACAGCCACCAGTGCTGGGAGGCTTGTTTACAGCTGGTCCCACCACTGCCATAGCTTCATTTTTCCTCAAGGGAGGCGTTAGCACAGCATTATAATATAACTTGTTGCCAAAGACAAAGCTGGAGGGGGCGGGGGTTGAAGGACTGAGTGAAAAAGGTGACGGGATTAAGAAGTACAAATCGGCAGTTACAACACAGTCACAGGGATGTAAAGTACAGCAGAGGGAACAGAGTTAATAATATTGTAATAACTATGTATGGTGCCAGGTGGGTACTAGAAAAGTTGGGGGGAACACTTTGTAAAGCATTCTAACCACCATACTGTACACCTGAAATACATACAAAATAATACTGAATGTAAAAACTGTAATTGAAAAATAAAATTTAAAAAGATAAAGCATTACCTTCTGTACTTTTTTATTTTTTATATTTTTATTGATTTCAGAGAAGGAGAGGGAGAGAGATAGAAATATCAATGATGAGAGAGAATCATTGACTGGCTGCCTCTTGCATGCCTCATCCTGTGCATCGAGCCCACAACCCAGGCATGTGCCCTGACTGGGAATTGATCCGTGACCTCCTGGTTCATAGGTCGATGCTCAATCACTGAGCGACACAGGCCAGGCAGCATTACCTTCTTTAAAAACCCCCTTCCTTCCCAGACATTCATCTGGACCAACATAGTGCTAAGTACACCCTTTTTACCAAGTTTAAAAACTATCTTGCCCTGGCCTGGAGCACCAATGTACACCACAAGGGCTGTGCATTTCATTCCTCGTCAGGCACAGAGCTGGGCTGCATGTTCCATTCCCAGTAGGGGTGCATATGGGAGGCAACCTATTGATGCTCCTCTCTCATATCAATGTGTATCTCCCTTCCTCACAATCTAAAAATCAATAAAAACATATCCTCCGGTGAAGGTAAAAAAAAATAGCTTTATAATTTTAATATATGGAAGATTAGAGATCAGGTAGTGTTGATTCTATCCCTTTCATTTTAACAGACAGGAAAACTGATACCCACAGATTTGGCCAAAGTCATACAGTGGCAGATCTCCCGAGTCCTCCTTTCTATGCCCCGCCTTTAAGGAAGAGAGCGCTGCTGCCTGGGTTCTGGGAGTGTACAGTAATGCAAGCTGCTAATCCCCAAAGCAGAACATCAAGCTCATTTCTTCCGTCAGGCTTTTCCCCAAGGACAAGTGCTTCACCCTCTGGGCTGATTGCAATTGTGATGAATTTAATCATTTGGTACCAGGAGTTAGCACAAGTGCTTCAGGCAGCCATTTGATTTAATAAATCAAGTAAAGAAGGCTGCAAAACTTGATGTGATCGTGAGTCTACTAAATAGAACCCAAAGAAACAGCTATGGGCTCCAGCACAAATACCAGAAAAGAGAAAATTCTCTTCTTTAGCACCATTTCTGGCTTCCTGAAATGTAAAGCAGGGGCTTTTAAATATTTATGTGTCCATATTTGTTTTACAGAGCATTCCTCCTAATTTATCTTGTATTCAAACAGTTCCTTTGGGAAGAGGGGATGTTATTCCACCTTCCTCATTGCACATGCCAGCCATTCATTTTTAATAAGCAATAAAAATCATGGTAATGTCCTTAGTAAATGAGAGAGGGTAGTTTAGAAATCAGCTTATGTGAAAAGAACTGACCTAACAGCAAGTTTTAAAAAGTTTAACCCTTTTTAGAACACGATTAATAAACTTTGACTCTTCATGGTAAAACATCCCAGTTCATAGCAGATAATTGTCACTACAGGACGTCAGAAACCAAAAAATTAAATTACTCTGGGCCAAAAGCAAATGTAGAAAAGAAGGAAGAGTTTTTAGAAAAAAGAAAGCAATACTTCCATTCTGAGGGCTTCCGTTTGTTATGTGCTGCACATTCTAAACCTTTCAAAGGGCTACATTTTAATCCCAGCTCCTCATTTATGCTGCCATGCTCCTAACACTGAAAGAATACCCACAGAGACTAACAGTAAAACCAAAGTTTACCAAGAAATAGAAGGAATCTCTGAACTCATTTGAAAAGGAAAAAAAAAAAAAAAAAAGGCAATGCAAAATTAAAGCTAAGGCCAAGGTCTTACTTTCCCGGATCTGGCATCTGTGTGCACAGCAACCGCAGAGACTGAAAACTCCTCCGGATTGAATGAATATTTGCCATCCCCATAAACACAACTTCACAGTTGGGGTAATACTCTAGAGAGAAAAACAATAAGTAGAACACAAATATGTTAGATTTAAAGCCCACATGGCCAAATTTAAAAGAAGCAAAATGGCAATAAACAAACCCACTGCAGCTGCTAATGGAACTGCAGTGTTTTGAAGCCTATATTAGCTCAGTCCTTTATTATGAGCGGAAAATAGTGCTTGAAATTTTACCTGTTTTTGCAAAGAAGAAGGTTAGATTTGTGAAGATACTGACATAAAATAGAAGCTGTTACTTAAAAAACATGAATAATAAAAAATAAAAAGATCTATATACTCCCCTCACCCCCAGGTTTACTTCTTGGGCCTGCGCTAACTTGTAGCTCTGGAATCTCTGAAAACAACCTGGCAGAACAATGCATTCCGTGCATTCAAATTTCACCTTAGTACCACTGCTTTTAATTCTCAGCTTAGATCCCATCTGAATAAGGAGTTTGGTGCCTCAACTTGCTCCATCGGCACACAACTGGCACCAAAGGGTTCCTTTGGAGAAAACCAGCATTCAAACAGTAGGTACGTCAGAGGTTAGGAGAGAAGCACTTTGCTACAGTTTCGTATTTACTGCTTCGATTTCCAGGCCAGGTTTTCTAAGTGGAAGCCATGTGAGGAGTTTCTGTAAGACAAGTGATGAGCATACCCACTTGTCAAAGGCAACACAAAGCTCCTAGAAGGCTGAGAAATTGAGCCTTAAAGAAGCCGCTTCCAAATAAGAACAGACCTTATTATGGGAGAGAACTGACTTTCCTTATCACCTAAAGGCTGGCACAAGGAAGGAGGACTATTTGGTTTCACTGTACCTCCACCTCCACTTCTCCCATGGAAAGAGCATAGTGTTAAGAATCCAAAGAGCTCTGGCTCTCTCAAGATAGGTTGGGGAACATGGTTTGCCTTTCATTTCATATTAGGAAGTAAGACCCAGTTGGGCACAGGCTGGACTCATGAGGAAAGAATGTTGGGGGACAAAGCACTGTCCATCTCACCTGGGCATTCACAGCCTCCTCCTTTGGCTCTGTTTGCAACAGCCGCAGCATAGGAACGTGCATCCAAAATCAAGAGCTTCTGAGGTTGGATGGCTAAACTCTCTGCTCCTGAAGCATGTGACAGAGAAGAATCTAGGAACATCAGGAGTGGGGAGGAAAAACTAAATGAACCTGTCCCTTCCAGAACTGTGCAAAGTAAGAACCCCAGACACATATTATGGTACAAAAAAATTAAGTGAAATCCCTAACCAGAACTTCTTTTTGTTTTCTATTTTGCCTATAATCTCCTATACCTTGTTTCTACAACAGCTGTCCTTTAATGAAGCCTGGTGAAATTTTCCTCCATGGTCTGGAGAAACTGCAGGTCCCCTACTACATATATATTCGTTACTATGGCAAGAAAGACCCCCCAAAACAAACAAACAAAAAAAACACCACTCTAGTCCTCTTAAACCAAGTTTGAAATAAGGGGTCTTCTCGTTTATTGCCAAGACCCATGAATCCTCAAACAATCGCATCAATTGAAGCGTTGCTCTCTTCTATAAAACAAATTCTATGTGTTATAAGAAAAAGGCCATTTCAAGAAAAGGTTCTCATCTGCTATAAAAATTGCTGCCAGGAAGCACCTTACCAAACTCCACATCAGAAAGGTCTCCTGCATTGGGAAAGTCTCGAGAACTGTTCCTAGTTGACAGCTTGCTGCCACTCGATCGGGAGTTGGAGGCACAAGCTTTGGCTACTGACTGCACCAGGTGCTCATCATCAGCATTTCGCCAGCCCCACCAGCTGACCTCCGGCTGCCCGCAGCGGGCAATGACAGCTCCATTGCTCTGGTGCCTGTGCAGGGAACAAGAAACAACTGTACCATCCAGAGGCCCCATCCAGATGCTCTGTGCTCATACCACAGTGAGGTGGTGGATTTTAAATGCCTTAATGAACTGCCTAACTACAGGTAAAAGATGCATTAGCTTCAAGTCCTCTCAGGGCAGAAATCTTATATAGCAACAAAAACAACAAATCCTACCTAGACCTTTCTCAATTATCAGACCATTTTAGAGATCTTTGTAGAGTTACCAACAAAATAATAAATGTATCTTCTTAGAGAAAACAAATTACTATTCATAAAGCAAATGTCTGTATCTTTAAATTTATTTTTGGAAAATCAGGTTAAAAATAATCTATAGATACTACACTAATTCTTCTAATCAATAATGAAGCATTGTTCTCTCCTTCTTATCTGCACCTGAAAAATTTGTTTCCTCACTGACTTCTGAAGGTCCACCGCAGCAATTGGCTGGCTTGGGGATTATTTTCAAAACAAGATCCCACCTTTGGGACCGAAACACTTACCTGGCCCACAGTGAACTGCTTGACAAAATCTCCTGAGATTTCCTGAGTCACAAACTGTTCTTATTATAGGCAAATTAGCTCAATGAGCCAGCTACTCTCTTAGAAGGAAATGAACAGCATAAACCTCAATAAGCCATACTCTCATAGATCCTTTTCCAAGAAATAAGATCAGAGTACTCGTAGTCTACTTTAAGATTCTATTAAAACCAAGTCTTTTCCTAACTAGGAATTTTAGTTAGGCAATTTTAGTAATTAAAAAGTTATAAAGTAATATTATTTGGCAATAAAGAGAAATAAAGTCCTAACACATGCTACAACATGGATGAGCCTTGAGTATGTTCTGCTAACTGAAAGAAATCAGTCACAAAGGCCACATTCTGTATGATTCCATCTATATGAAATGTGCAGAATAGGCAAATCTAGAGACAGAAACAAGTTTACTGGTAACCCAGGACTAGGGGCTTTGGGGAGTGACTACTAATGGGTCTGAGACTTCTTTTTGGGATGGTGAAATGACTAAAACTACCTGTAAGGATGGCTGCACAACTCTGTGAATCTACTTAAAAGAAAAAAGAGAAAAAAAGAAAAGATCACTAACTACATATTACATTAAAAGGGAAATTGTATAGGGCATCTCCATAAAGCCATTTAAAAAAATTATCAAAGAAATCAGTTCACTGTAAACACAAATTAGTAGAATAAAAAGCTAGTAAGCAAAAAATTTAAATGTCCCTCAATTCTATATTCTAGAGGAAACTATCAATGTCTTACCTCCCGTTAAAATTGTTTCTAGCCCTAGCTGGTTTGGCTCAGTGGATAGAGCATCGGCCTGTGGACTGAAGGGTCCCGTGTTCGATTCTGGTCAAGGGCACTGCCCGGTTTGCAGGCTCAACCCCCAGTGGGGGGCATGCAGGAGGCAGCCAATCAATGCTTCTCTCTCATCATTGATGTTTCTCTCTCTCCTTCTCCCTTCCTCTCCGAAATCAATAAAAAATGTATTTTAAAAAAACTGTTTCTAAACACATATATGATGCACACATTACACATATGTAGAGCAAATATGGATTTAAGCAACACACACTTTTGAATCCATTTGTCTTCTTCAAGGAATGATGTGAGAAAAGATTTTTGTTTTTAATCCTAAAGCTCACAAGCAATACATTAAATTTGGTAATAATCAAATTTCACTGGAACCACCAGTTTGCTTGTAGTTTTTAAATCCTCCCTTATTGGGAGACAAGTAGTTGTGTATTACCAACACAATCAACTGGCTCACCTGAATGAAGCCCAACTGAAAAAAAACACCTCATTGATTCTTAAAATGCTACTAGCATATGCTAATAGGTGCTGGGTAACCAATGAGCTGATTGATGCCAAACCTCTAGAAAGAGGCTTGGCAGGACCTTTCCTGAGCACCTTTCTCTGCAATGCTTCCCAGACGTGCCCAGGAGGAACAGTAGATGGCACTCTTCATCCATGAAAGGCTATGGCATTATAGTAGCTAGACTGCAACTGAGCTACTGCAGTGGGCAGTTTCTGCAGTCTTCTAAAATGCTTTAGATGCACGAAAGAGAACTAAAACACTAAAGCTAAAAATCATTAAAGAGCATTTCTATCATTTTCACAAACAGAACCATAAAAAATATAAAAATTAAACAATGAAATGTTTAAACTATCCCTAAACTGGTGTCAGGCAAACTTCCAAAATGACTAGAATTTTCTAAATCATTCAATGCACACAGAGGGGAGCTGTGGATTGAACTACAGAGGGGGTGCCCTTCTCATCATCTTCCTGTGTTAGAGCAATCTCTGTCTTCAATGATAAATCCAATTAAATACTCTCATCACAGTAAGAGAAAGCATGCATCAGGCACTGGTTCAGTGCTGTCAAGGAACTGCTGCTAGCAACCTCAAGAATCATTACTGCAGTCTATGGACAATTAAATTCAGTAAATGCAGGTGGATTCAGAAGCATCCTGCCACCCAGGCTGACAAAGCAGAGTGCTAGAGCAAGCATGTCAAATTCATTTAAACGAGGCATACAGCCCACTGGCCGTGAGTTTGACATGCTTGTGCTAGAGTATCCCAAAACATTCTTCAACTGCCTCAATCTGACCACCCAGTCTGGAGCTCAGAGATACAAGAAAAAGTTCTGAAATAGACGCCAGTTCCTGGAAGCCTGATTTTATGTGGACTACACCAAGAACTTTCATTTGTAATCTTTTGAGAGATTTTCTCTGAGAAATTACAAATTTTAAAAAAAATTCATTTATACATACTCTATGTCTCCAGAAAGGGTTGGAGGGGAAAAAAATAAACAAACCCATGGCTCATGCTCTCTAGAATAAATTTTAGAAGGGAAAAAATTCTTTCCATGTTTATCCTAAGAAGTTTTTCTTCAACCTGCACTTTTAGGGTTCTCTACCAACAGAGAGAATTCACCTAAAGCCCCTTGCTTTGAACACAAGGGGGAAGGACTATCATTTTCAAAGTCAGAAAACCACACAAATGCCAGGTTTGCTGATCTAACACAGTTGGCCAGAGCAGCCACTGGTTGCTTTCCCCATTTGAGCTGGGCAGATCGCTGATAAGGCCCATAAAACCTTTCAGCTTTCACTGCTCTCTAATTCTTGTGTCATCCTTACCACTTGAGTGATAGGTAAATGTGGTGACCTACTTTTCTAGGGGTGTCTGAAAACAACAGTGATGGAATTGAGACTGAAAACTTTCCTGGGCCAGAAAAAAATACTTTTCCATCTCATTACTCAGGGTGGCATCAGATTTTGCCTTCAGTGGACTAAATTAATAAGCCCGTTACCTCAGTGGGAATTATAGAGATAAATCCCTTTCTACAATTTCAAAATTTCAATAGAAGGTCTCTAGGCATGAGTTTTAAATAAGCCTCACTGGTTTAGTCTAATTTCAAGAAGAGACCAAAAAGTCTGCAAACTGGGAAAATGAAATGGAGAATGTGAATATTACAAGAAGATGACACCCGAAACAGTTTCAAAATAAGAGGTAATGACTTCTTAAAATTTTAACATGATTCTGTGAGTAATGAGATAGCCACTGAATTATAAAAGCAGCCATCAGGAATACAACCTACTCCAGATACTGCTTAGAGACGTCCAGTGTTTATAGATTCATTCAGATGCCATAGCATACAGGCAAAGAAAGAACAGCATTCCCATTTTACTAATTAAGAATGGGCATTAGTCCGTTAAGGAACTTACTCAAGGTGCTATAGCAAGAAGTATCAGATAAAAGACTTAAACTCCAAACCTGTGCTTGTCACCATGTCACCATCCCCTACTAGAACTTGCCCCTCTGCTAGCAACCGCAGGAATCATCACTGCAATCTACAGACAACTAAATTCAGTAAATGCATGTTGATTCCTGCCTTTGACTTCTCAGATCTTATAGCCAGCCAAGATCTATCTAGCCTTCTTCCCTAAATGCTCCCTCTCCAAGTAGAGCTCTTTGAAGTGTTGAAGTTTTTCAACCACAAAGACAATCACAAGTGACTCAACTCTACTCCCAATTCTCACTTTCTAGGACTCATCTCTCGTTCCAAAGGCCAACATCTGAAGCAAAATGCAGCAAGCACATTATCTTCCCATAGAATGTCAGAAGGATCTTAAAATAGCAAGACCAGCCACCTTTCTATTAAATTTTTAACAGTGTTAATTTAATGTTATCAGCTAGTGTTCTGGATGCAGTAATTACCGGTGTGTAACTGAAGAGCTGCTTTAGCACTAAGGAAGCACAGAATTGCCTGCGAAGTTTCCCGAAGCCTCCTCACCTCCCTTCCCAGGTGAGCAGCATCAGAGGCAGCAGACCACTTGCAGTGGGCAGTAGGCCAAGCTTACTCACCTGTAGATGACGGCAGGGATGCGCTTCCAGGACCTGAAGCCTGCTACACTTTCCAGTTCTTTGTCAGTGATCCAGGCAGGCACTATGAGTTCCTGAGGATAGCTACCACACAGCCTAACAGGAAAGGTGAGAAAGAGGGAGAGACATTAGGTGAATCAGCAGAAGGATGCTGATCAAGCTACCCGCGTCAGTTAAAAGGCAGTGCGGAGCATTACTTGAGTCTTGGCCTGCTCAGCAGAATGGGCTGCTTCCAGTGTTTATATATACACACACACTATCTTGGATTGTTTCCCTTGATGCTGCCTTTTGGGAATCTGCCAGTCTTAACTATCAATGAAAAAAAGGGGAGTTGAGAGGCAGTTACTCATTGTAACTCTGTTGTCATAGATACACAGGCCATTTCTAACACACACAATCCCTGTCTGACTACAGAAGTGAAAGTCTGTGTTACCTCTAACGCCCTCAGTCTTTCAGGCTTTCGTCAAAGTGAAACACAAAAAATGTTAAGAGCCTACAATTTCACGTATCCAGAGACCTCATAGGATTATTAATGTAATCTTTGATATGAACCAAACAGGATGTCCTAATTACAGATAACAAATGCGGCAAAGGGTATGTACAGAATACTTATGTCTATTTCATAGAATGTGGAGTAAAATTAGTCATAAAAACTACCCCTAAGTGTTTTATCACTGCATATGAGATCACTGATCCGATCTCTAATGTGATGTCAAGTGGTGATGAGAACCGACTGCCTACTCATAGACGCTGTTATCTAGATATGCCTGTGCCAGGAAGCAGAGACCATGAGGGTAGAAAGGAAGGTTCCAGAATCCTATTAAGTAAGGATCACTTTCCACTTCAGTAATAGCAATGGAAAAAGACTAAAGAAGTACTCTGAAAATCACGCATTTAGATTTAATAAATAGACGTCATTTGAAAGAAAAAGTCTAAGTTCAAATGTTCTGTCACATGAGAAATAGGGTTTTTGCAAAGACAATGGCTGTGAAACACAGTCCACAGGGACCCATACAACTCACTTGTACTTCTCATTGATGTTGGAAATCCTCCAGGCATTGATCATATCAAAACCCATCCGCTCCACTTCATTTTTAAACCTTGATGTTACATGTTCCCCTAGAAACCAAAGATAGCAGAAAAAAGGAAATGAATACCATTTAGCAAAATAGGTAGAATAAAAGCGTAGCTACCCTTCTCAGTAGGGGATAGGTATTGTATAAATAAAATAGCATCTACTTGGTTTTAGTTTTTTTAAAAATCCCTGTCAGGTTAAGACTGAACTAAGGAATAAAGAAATTAATTTTGATCAAGAAGTATGTTATCTCATCTAATCACTACTATCAAGTCTGAGGATAGTTATCACTGAGCTCATTTTACAGACGACAACATGGAAACAGAGAGGTTATTATGGCAGGCCCGTCTGGTCCCAAAACCCATGTTCTTATTATTCTGGCTGCTTACCTACTTCCACACTCAGAGAGATGGTATGCATAAGAAATGACATCAACGGTTCACCAAAAATAGTAACATAGATCTACAACTCATCAGAAACCCTTTGGGCCAGGCCTGGCCAGTGTGGCTCAGTGGTTGAGCATCAACCCCTGAACCAGGAGGCCACAGCTCTATTCCTGGTAAGGGCACATGCCCGGGTTGCAGGCTCAATCCCAAGTAGGGGGTGTGTGGGAGGCAGCTGATCAATGATTATCTCTCATCATTGATGTTTCTATCTCTCCCTCTCCCTTCCTCTCTCTGAAATCAATAAAAACATTAAAAAACAAAAAAGAAAGAAAAAAACCCTTTGGGCCAGATTTCAGAACTTGAGAAATTTCTGGATTTTAAAATGACACATATAATATTAACACTCTAAACAAGGTCTACTTAATCAAACATTAGTATTTCTACAATGAAATGCATAGATAATTCATACTGAGATAAATAAAGCAACAAATAGTTTCAGATCAGTTCAAGCCACCAAATAAAATAAGAAAAATCATTCAATTTTCAGAGCCTTATAAAGAATTACAGATAAAAGAAAACAGAACTATAACTGCCAGTACCCAGGAATCTCAGGAAACACCATACTACCAAGTAAAGTGCTAAGCATTTGTAAGAATATCCACCCAAACATGTGTAACCCATCTGCACATGCCCTACTGCATTTGGCTTTCTCTTCCTTAAGACAATGAGAAACAAAGGCATTAATGAAATGAATATAAAAGTCATTAAATCTGAAATAACTTTCTTCCTTTAAAACTCAGAGTCCTAAGGCAGTAATTTTATTAAAAAATCATTAAGCAGGAGAGCCTACAATAATAAAAGCACAAAAGAAGCATAGGACTGCTTTGATGATCAAAGTATAAAGCTTTGCTCTCCCTGGGAGAAAAGCTTCAAAATAGGAAACAGCAATTACTTGAAGAACAATTCTATAAAACTACTTCCCATTTAAACTGCTTTTCTTGAGCTTAAACTAAACTAGGCATTATATGTTTCCTGAAGGAAAGCTATAAAAAGACCAGGCTCAGAAATGCAGGAAGAAATAATCAGCTGAATCTATTATTTTGGAAGTGATATGGACTTCCAAATAGGAAAAAAGCTATCTGAATTGGGGTGCCATTTGTCTACAAATTGCATGGAACAGTGACCATCAAGAATACTAAACGGGCCCTGGCCAGTGTTGTTCAATGGTTATAACTTCCATGTGGACTGTATATACTGGGAAGAAACAAAATACAACCTTTTACTTATAGAGAAGTTCAAAACAGTTACAACAGCACCACATCACCTTGTATATTCATAATTTCCAAAATGTTTTTACAAGCATGGCACATAGGAGATACACAAACATTTACTGAATTGAGCTCTAGCATAACCAATTTGATCTTCAGGATACCCAGAACAGCTTGGGCAGGAAGAACAAGAAGTTCCCAGTTTGAAGAACAAAGGGAACTAAAGTACAGAGAGGATAAAAATGGCTTACCCAGTATTTTTTTTTAATTAAATAGTAGAGTACGGATTTGATATCAGTTTTTCTAATTCCTAAGTCTAGTACTTTACCCACCAAATGCCTCTATCCATCACAAATCCATGAAAGACAGAGGACACCATGGACATCTGTAAGGACTGGTGGTCAAAGAACACGAAATAACATCAGAAAGGAAGGACCTGAGGACCAAAGACATCCCAGCTCAGGACAAAGCCATCCATCATTAAAAGACGACAGTGAAGTTCTGACCTGGCATATCTTAGGAATGTCTTAAGAGTTGGCTCAGGTTCAAAAGAATAAAATTATCAAGGGAATAAGAAATCATCTAAAAATATGAGAAAATTTCAGTTTCAGGAAGGAGAAAGCTAGGTTTGTTAACTAAATGCTGCCAATCCAAAACTAGGGGAATGCCTTTGGAGTTAAGAGTCTTAAATCAAATGTACACATAAGATTTGTGCATTTCATTATGTATAAACTTTACCTTTAACAAAAACTTGAAAAGAACCAGAAATAAAGAAACAAAACAAAAATAATAATACAATGGTATCTCAATAAAGAAGGAAAAAGAAAAAGAGGGATGCAATGGATGAGGGAGTAAAGTGAGACAGTTTAAAAGCACGTTCTCATAACCTCCAAGGCTGGTGTGGTCTCTTGCTACTGACTTTGGATTGCACTGGCCTTGACCAGGCTTCTGGGAAGCTTAAATTCCTGAGGCTTTCCTTTAGGCTCAACAAGGGCAGGGCCTGTTTTTCATCTGTATCCACAGCACCCCACATAGTCAGTTCTCAATAGCTGAGAACTGGGTTTAAGTTCTAGCGCTGTCAGTACCTACCAGTGGGACTTGGCAACAGCCATTGTCTCTGAGTTTCGGCAACAGCCATTGTCTCCGAGTTTCATCTTTAGCTCCCAAAACAAAAATACCAGCCTATCCTGCCTGTTTGATCAGATCAGAGGGGCCAAACAAAAAATCAAAGCATCTTTAAAAATAAGATGATGCTTATGTGTGTTATTATATTTTATTTAAACAAGAATATAAACCAAAAACTTCAACCAGTGAATGAATCAAAAACAAAACAATACACATAGCTAGATTAGCCTCAAATGTTTAAAATGAGCCAGGGCAGAATTGTTAAGACTGAAGATTCAGGATTAAAAACTGAGGTTTAAAGAGAAAAAAAATCCCAAGAATAAACTTTATTGGAAGAAAGCTCACAATTCTGTACCACTTAGGAATTCAAGACTTTGCTCCCAAACTGGATACAGTAAAGACTTCATGTTGGACCAGAAAAGTTATATTTATAGCAACATAAAGTTCACAGACAACTATATGGAGAAATAACATGAACTTAGTCAAAGCCATTTCTGAGGGAGAAAGATAGTAAATGCGACAAAGATTTAATGAGGAGTCAGGAAGCCTGGGTTTCAGCACAGACTCAGCCTCTCTGTCCTGAAGGAAGTCACCTGGCCTCTGGACCTCTGTTTCATCATCTTGGGATGAAAGGGTGACAATAGTAACCTATGGCTTGAAAATTCAAAGACAGTGAAAGACCTTTTTATATTCCACTATTATATGGCCTAATCTCACACTTCTATACCTTTGCTCATGCTACGTGCTCTATCATTCTTTTCCCCATTCTCTAATCAATGAACTCTCACCCGACCTTCAAAGCCTACTCAAAAGCCACTACTAACGTGAAGTCTTCCCAGACCTGTATACAATCCTCCTGGCTCCTTTCTACTAGGCTTCCAGACCACCCATCAAATCTTACTATACAGTTGGTTTTTAAGCCTAGATTGTGATGCCAAATCTTGTGTTCTTTCCTTCCCCTGAAAGGCAGGAAACGTGTTCTACTCAGCTTATAAGAATGATGGGCACATGCTAAGTGCTGCATAAAATATACACTGACTGACAATATGAGTGCTTAGGGGTCCCGTTTCATGTTAGGGTACCTCAGTAGCAGTTCGTAAAGCCACTATTGGCATATTTTAGAAAGACCTACCTGGTCTGCACAGGTCTCCGTGTTGCTCTTTTTCACTGGCATAAACCTCCATGCACCAAGCATGATATGCAAATGAGAAGAGATCTTCTATTTTAGCAGGTGGTCGGATTGCATTGTTCAGCCTCTTAAGCCACTCTTGACATTGCTCAAAAGTTGAAAACTGACACCTTTGTAAAGCGAAACAAGTACAGATGTAATCAGAAGACAGATAACAATAAAACCTAAGAAAAGCCACATTTTAAGAGTGCCTACTCATGATGAGGTGATAACTACAGTCAAAAAATCGTTAGAAGTGGTCATTCACATGTTTATCATTTATAATAAAAATAGGCCAACAAATTTTAGCCAATGGTGTAAAATGTCAAAAAGAAGAAAACTGGACATATGGGAAACTTATGTTGTTAGACTAATGAAATCTCTTCTGAGACTGATTGTCAATTATTAAAGTAAAATGGCAGTTATTCTCTTCCATGAGTGGAATTTCATTCTATTTCTTCCATCAAAGCTTACAGTTGTCCCTCCCAAGAAATACGTTTAGAGAAGTCCTTTTGTTTTGTTATGACATGTTAGGCTGAGCTCAAATCACAGCCATACTTTTTGCCACTTAGGGAATAATTTCAAAATTTGTCTATTTAGCAATTAGAATAAATCAGCAACTTTATATCCAAAATAAGATAAATTACATTACAGTATTCAGCTATTACCATGTAGGGAACAAAATTTTATTATCAATTGCAACTTTCAGAATATATAACTAAGGTTAAAATAATCAGTGTAGACATACTTTACCTTTTCAGATGCAGTGTTTAAAATCGAGCAACTAATAAGCAATCTTTTTAAACTGTGAGTTATAGCCAGTATCTATCAAAAGCAAGCCAAATCTCAATGGGGAAAAAGCAACTATACATATTTACCTTAAAACCAAAAAGGTCAATTAAACCTCTCCCTTGTCCCAATCAATGTGGCTCATCAACATGCCAGCACACAATGTTTACTGGCACTTCAGAACAGGTCAAAGAGGAAAAGTAAAAACTTGGGGAATTTAAAACTTGCAGAGCTACTAAATTTAAAAAGGTATTTCAGGCATCATTTTGCAACCATTATAGTAAAGATTAAATCAGATAAAAACATTATTGGATGCTAAATCTTTGGAGAAATTTGGTGAGAAACAAGAATCTGCATTGTCTTACAGTGCCTCCCTTAGATTATTTATTAGTTGCAAGGGAGAAAGTTTAGAAATTATGGTGACACCTTAATAGAGTGATCAAAATTAACATCACCAATAAGGGACAGATGGATACTGTTTGCCTCCAGACGTAATACAATACCCTGAAAAGGACACAACCTCATGGGTATAGTGTAACAGCTGAGAATGTACAACCTCAATTTAATCATGAGGAAACACTGGACAGACAAAATAAGAAACAGTCTATTAAAAGACAGTACTCTTCAAAATGTCATAAAGAAAAAAAAATGCCATAAAGACAAAGGTGGTGAGAAACATTCCAGGTTAAAGAAGGCTATAGAATCATGCCAGCTAAATGTAGTACCTGACCTTGACTGGATCCTGTTCTGAGCTAGGTGGGGTAGGGGCAATGCTGTAAAGGGCATTATTATGTCAACTAACAAATTTGGAATATGAATTGTAGATTGGATAAAAGTATTATAAGTGTAAAATAGTGAAGTTGATAATGATACTGTGATTATATAAAAAAAAAAATCCCTATTCTTAGGAAAGCACATGAAAGTATTACAAGGTGAAGAGCTATGATTATATTAACTTACTTTCAAATTGTTCAGTAAAGAATATCTCTCTCTCTCTCTCTCTCTCAAGAATATCTCTCTCTCTCTCTCTCTCTCTCTCACACACACACACACACACACACACACACACACACAAGGCCCCTGCAAACGATAGAGCAAATGGGGTAAAATGTTAACAATACAGGTGTTCTTTGTACTATTTTTATTTTTGCATTTTTTGTAAATTTGAAAATATTTCCCAATAAATTTAAAAATACCTTTCAAATAGCAAAGTAACCTAAAATATTTCAGACAGTAACTACTCAGAAAAATATTCCCACAAGGCTGATCCTCAAAAGCTCTTTTTCTGTTAACAAACCATGAATCCATTCTCTAAAACGTCTTTTCCACACTAAACAGCAGCATAAACACGCCACATACCTGATAACTTTGCAGTCTTTGCAAGTCAAATGAAGCTGAAATATATCTCGGCATTCAACACTTTCTATAAGCTGTAATGGAACCTGCAATTAAAAGAGATAAAGTCCCCTTAGTAAAAAGGCACTGACCGACCCTGCAGTTCTTCAATGTGTCCAACAAGAGTGAATAGGAAGCTCCACAAGGGAAAGGAGCAAACAGAACTGCACACTTATATGGGTCACTAGTACTCACGTGCTTTACTACGGGGTGAATTAGGGTTCCCCCTGCTCTATCTCTAAATCAAAAACACAAGTCAGGAAGAGGAGACACCACCTCTGGAAGAACGGGGAAATAAGTCATCTCGCAAGCTCAGCACTCAGTACTTCTTGAGAAGCTATAGCCAGCTGTGATTTGTAATGACACAGAAGCTGAAGGGAACCATAATAGTAATCCTGTCTTGTTTACAGAAAAGAACTGTAGATCCAAGTGCTGGTGGGACTACACTTGTCCTTTGCCCCAAATCATAAAGTGAGCTTGTGGCTTCGTGTCAGCAAAGAAGCATCCTGAAAAAGACAAGTCTAAACTGCCTGCAGGTTGCAAAGAAAAGATGACAGGGCAGTAGATGCTGGCCAGGCTTTCTGCTCAGTAAAAGGGCTTATTGCTATCAAGGAGGAAGGAGCAGACCACACAGTGGGCAAAGGTCCTAAAACTAGCGAGGTCTAATTTGTTTTAAAAGACCAGTTGAGGAGCCCTGTTGCCAAGTGGGACTTGAGATATGAGCAAGTTAGAATGATTTTCTTCCTGCCAATCAGGTCAGCAGACTCTACTGAATGAACACAGGAGTAAATACAACAGTAAAAAGCAAAAGAAGGGATACAAGATGGGAAAGCATATAAACAGGGTGACAAATCCTCAAGTTGACATGAGACTCCTCCCCCTCTCCCTCCACTCATCCTGACTCAATCCCTGGCTTCAAAAAGCAATTTTCAAAACTTCTATAGAAAGCCTGATAAAGCCTAGTGGATACTCTTGCTCCTTGGAAAAGGTTAGACCACTGCCTCTTACACTGTATCATGCTAGCCAAAACATGGCCATGGGAGTTGCAAGTAGCCTTCAAACAATTCGTGTTTAGCATAGAAGAGGGAGGCAGTCTTCTTCAACACAGACAGAAACAAGGGAATGCTGGCTGCATAAGGTGGCCCTCATGTTAGCTGAGCCTTTTCGGAAACCCTGTCCTACCATGCAGTTGCCAAAGTCAGCAGAGAACTCTTAGAACAAGGATGTGGGGATCCAAAAAAAAGCCCCATGCTGGATGTCTAGGACCAAGAAACAGAAACTGGGGCAGGGATTTAAAAAAAAAGAACAAAGCAAAATAATAATATTCAGATAGTAATAATTTATACTGGCTGGGAGTATCTACTCAAGACCAGGGCCTTCTTGCTTAGTTCTAAGTCTATAATCTGCAAATTTTGCTTATACTTGTAATAGGACTGGGAGTAAGAGAAAGACTGTGAAATCTTGCCTTTGTTCTGAGAAAAAAAGCAGCACTGGCCCTCGGTTTTTTAAGTCCTTAACCCCAAGGTGCTGTGAGAAACTGGAGCTGATATAGCTAAAAATTCTTTCAAGACCTGTACATCTAAGAAGGAAAACAATAATAACAATGTATTAGTAAGAATAAACTGCGAAGGAGGAATATGAGATTAAGAGGAGAACTCTGATTCATTCTCAGGACAGTACTCTGTAACAGACTCTCTATTGTTTTCCTTTCTGTAGGTAACCTCCTCCCTCCTCCCTTTGCAGTGAGTGAGCTTTACAAACCCAAGTGGAGAGGCTGCAATCTCAGCAGTTACCTGCACCCCAGGTCCCCTTCGACGGCTTGAAAAGCCCCCTCAGCCCCCAAAGAAAAACAAAAGTGGCTGCAAGACTGACAATTAAGAGGCCTGAGTTATTTCAAATATTACTGATGTCCCCTCTTTTCCCCCCACATTGACCCCTCTATCCCACTCCCCCAGGCCTTCACCACACTACTGTCTGTCTGTCCATGGGTTATGCATATATGCATATAAATTCTTTGGTTAATCTCTTCCCAACACCTGCTCTCTGAAATACACCCCCCCCCCTTCCCTCTGAAATCCGTTAGTCTGCTGCATGCTTCAATGTTTCTGGATCTATTTTGTTCGTTATTTTGTTCATTAGATTCCAAATGTAAGTGAGATCATGAAGAGGCCCGAGTTCTAATCTCAATCTTCGAAAATTTTACCAACTAAAATTTTGCCTGCTTCCAGACTTCCTTAGATGAGCTTACCCCCTTCCTATATGCCACTAGTCTCTGCTTTCTGAACCTCAGATAGTCACAACTTAGGAATTCCAGGTACAGGAATGGGAAGGGAATGAGAAGAGCCTGGAGTGCCCTGAGTGAGCTTTACACATCCAAGTGCAGAGGCTGTGATCTCAGCACTTACCTGCACCTCAGGGCCCCTTAGATTAAACCAATTAATGCTCTTAGCAGTTGCTGGAGAGAGTGGACACCAGCCTGTGCTACTCAGCTACCACGAACAGGTAAGTTTTACATCCCTCCCACTGGACCAGAGCACAAGGGCCTATGCCCAGACTTCCAGAATAAAACGATGAAACATGTCAGCGCATGTAAAAACTGCTCCCTAAAACGCATTTGATATACAGATGTTCATGTATTTTAACATGACAAATTTAAAGAACAAAGATGTTGGTTGCTAATATGCAGATACTAGAAACACCAGTGTATACCACACGTACTCAAGTCGTAGATCTATAAAACAGCAGATTTCAAGACTCATGCAGATTGTTACATGCACTGAAGTTTAATATGCAGCAGGAACAGGAACATACAGAAGAAAAATACCTGATTTTATATCAAATGAACATCTTCCTTTTTTCTTCTACTTCTACCTCAATATTCCCGTCTTCACTGTTCCTTCCACAGAGTGCTTCCTCTTCTAAAAAGATAGAACTGGCCTTCTTTTCCTCTTCATTTCTCCAACCAAAACATACTAAGTTTCTCTGCATTTTTTAAGGCCCACGCCATTGCTTTAGCTTTCTCAACTTTCCTCACATATGAAGAGGATCTCTTACCATTTCTGTAACTAAACATACCCAATAACCAATCTCATAGGCAAACAATTACAGATTCAAGAGCCAGACCATTTTACAGCCCAGGAAGATTAGCCGCTACACGATAAGCTAGTGACCAACTCAGGACAGTAATCCATGTCAGTCCTCCAGTCCAGGCTCCTTTCATTATGTATATGATGTGCGTTTCTTCCTTTAAGACTGCACTTCACTTCTGTATGCGCTCTACTTTCGTTTCTTCTTTCTCAATTAAGGCCTCTCCCTCAGGGGTCTTCAAGAGGAAAACAGAATCTAAACCAAGATTCCTTAGAGGCAATTTTACCCATGGAAGAGTAGCCAGAAATCTAAAGTCACATTCAAATCCTCTCTAGCTCACTGATTCAAATGTTTTAGAGCAATTAATTTTCTTTTTGTTATTTTTTCTTCTATCGTCTAGCTTGGTAATTCTATCTCCCTTTACAGTGCTCTTCCTCTTAGGAATTTCACCAAACTCATGCTCAAAACAATGCATCAAACACACAAAGTGCTGTTAATCGATTTCTCAAAAGGCCAGAAGTTACAACATGAACACCAAAACTCATAAGAGCATCAATCCAAAGCAGAAGAGCAGCAATTAAAGACTTAATAGACATGCACAGGTATTGAAGCTCCACAGTACTGCCCCATTCGGGGATGTGTGCGCACTCACATGCACATGTGTGCTGTTTGAGCACCAGAATTGAAAAGCGGGATAGTTCCTACCTTTTAAAAACAAATGCCCCCTTTATAGCCTGAATGGGAAGTACTAATCTTGTATGTACATTTGAAGTAAAAATGATAGTAACTAAGTGAAAATAAAGCTATGATTCTAAACCTAAAATCTGTAATAAACTGGAATATCTGGGCACTAAATCTTATCCTTTAAAAACCAGTTCTAAAAAGAAGACTGTCACAGGCTAAAGACATAAACTTTTTATTGCTCTCCTTTGATATTCATAAGCTACTCTTCCAGCACTGGTGCCAGATGCCTCTGCTGACATATGAATGCTAAGGCCAAAGTGTATTCAGTGTTAATAATAACCTCTTCTTGATGTTTGGAGAAGAAAGATTTTTGATGTACTACAGTCAGACAATTAAAAATGTGAAAAAAATGCTAAGAAAGGTGTTTCCAGCTGCTACACTTCCACCTTTTTCCTTAGAAGCATTAACAGGACATCCTAGAAACAGAAATTCTAATGTCCTTTTAGATACTAATGTTGATTTTCCAAAAATTTCTAGTTGAAATTCGGTTTTCATTTTTTGAAGGTCACAATTCCATGAGCTCATGTATAAGCTGTGGGGCTTTTTCCTCACCCCACAAATTGTTCTCATTATAGGGTACCACTAGAACATTGTCTAGTAAGAGGGAAGGGACTCATGCAGAATAGACACATTTTGCTGACTTGCAAGGTGAGCATCTGACATTCAAAACCAATTTGCTCCAGGCACATGTGCAAAAATCGCCCAGGTTTCCTCATGCTACTTACTGGGACTTCAGAAGCAGTAGATTGAGAGGCAGTCTATTGAATTACACAAAAATTGTTTTAGACTTTCATGAATTCCACTTGAACACTTTTTTGTTTATAAATTAGCTGAGCATCAAAGAAATATATTCGTACATAAGTAAAAATATGGTTTGGGCAAAGCACAGAATGGGGGCAATTCATACCTTAAATGCTACCAATGAACTCTACTACCGAGGTTCTTTACCCTAGAAATTTAAAACTTGATATCCAGTGAATGTGTGTGAATTACAGTACACAATACTTTTGGCATCTAAGTCTACAGACTTTCACTCAATGTGTGAAATTAAAGAATGTATGTGATGAATAGTAACTAGATTTACAGTGGTGTGGTGTATACAAATATCAAATTATAATGTTGTACAGCTGATATATATGTAATCTTGTATACTAATTTTTACCAAAAAAACACTTTTTTAAGAATATATAATATCAGGTTGCTATTTAAAACCTGATAGTAAATTATTTTCTAAAGTACTAAATATATTGATTTAAAAACATACAAAATGATGCAAACTGGGGCCTGCCACAATATATACTGGCACATTTTGGGCTTTGACGGTTGAAATGTGTTTGAATATCCTTCAAAGGGAGTCTCTTGATCTCACATATTTTATTGAAATATTTATCTGCTGAGGGAGAAAGAAAAGGAGGGAGGGTGCGGCAACCCCAACTCTCTAGTCTCCATCCAGTACCTAGCAGGAGGAGCCACTGTTTCTTGGAGTAATCACAGGTTTTAGGAACCTTAGCCCTAGCTGTGATGCAAGTAATTTATTTGTATGGAGAAGTCATAGTCTCCTTCTATCTGAAATATTTAAAGTCACTGCAATACCAAAATATTTCTGCACAATCATTTTTCTCGACAGCCATTATATTGGGCTTTCTAAGTCACATGCAGGCTCTATGCCTAGAGGGTTATAATGCTATCTGAGAAAACACTTTTAGGTGAGAAAATAGGTCAAAAGTACGTACATTGGTAAATTTCTTAAGCATATCTTTCAGTCACAAAGAGGGACCAACATTTACAATAAACAACCCACTTATACAGCTACCCTTAGAGACATTGACATGGGCCTATCACACAGATACGTTGTTTTAAAATGAGCTTTAAATCTACAAAGGGTTTTAAAATGGTCTAATAGCCATTTCACGCCCATATTAACTTTAATTCACATAATACAGGGGTGGGCAAAGTACGTTTACAGTTTTCAGTACACAGAACAGTTTATTATTATATCATTACTTATTTATTTGTAAACCTACTTTTGCCCACTACTATATTTACTGAATACCATGGTACCAGGAGATATGCTGGATTCTGAAGACACAAAGATGAATAACCAAAAAACTTCAGCATATCCGGTAAATGTTGTAAAGGTGTGGTCAAGACACAGAAGAGCAGCCAGGAGTGTAATAAACTGCCAGGGAGGAACTGGGACTGAGAAAGACATCACAGAAGTTATCACCTGATTTGGGTTTTGAAAGATGAAAAAGAGTTCCCTGGGCAGGAGAGAAGAGAGAGAACTCGGAGTGTGAGATTATGGCTGAATAGTCCAAGGAGGATATACCCATTTTATTAACACCAAGGGGAGAAGGGAGAAAAGACGGAAACAGACAGAAAAGCTGGCAGGGACCAAGTACCAAATACCCTGAGATCATGCTAAGTAATTCCATCTTAAAAGCAATAAAGAAATACTGAAAGGCTTGAGGCTGGTGAACGATATGATCAAATCCATGCTCTCTCTCCAATAGACCCTATTCCAGAATAGATCTAAAAATAGTCCCTAAAATACTTGGCCATAAACCAACAACCTGAGAAATAGGGGACTGAATGGAAAAACGCAATGATATGCAACTGTATCATCCCCACATGCAATTTAAGTAGAATTTCATTGATTCCAGCCATTTAACACAAAATTAATTTGAACAATTCTACTTACTACAGTAGTCTCCCCTTATCTGTGGGGGATATGTTCTAAAACACCCCCCACTGGATACCTGAATCTATAGATAGAACCGAATCCTATGTATACTATGACTTTTTCCTATACACACACTAGTTTCTACCCCCTCCTTATTGGCAGTTTTGCTTTCTGTGAAATCAATTACCCATGGGTCAACCGTGGTCCAAAAATATGAAATGAAAAATTATAGAAATAAACAATTCATAAGTTTTCAATCACATGCCATTCTGAGTATTGTCATGAAATCTTGTGCTATCCTGTTCCATCCCACCCAGGACGTGAGCTGCCCTTTGTCCAGCATATCCATGCTGTGTGGTACCTGCCCATTAGTCACTTAGTAGCTGTCTTGGTTATCAACTGTTGCAGTATTCCAGTGCTCGTATTCGAGTAACCCTTATTTAACTTAATAATGGCCCCAATTTATTACCATATATTGTTATAATTGTTCTATTTTATTATTAGTTATTGTTAATCTCTTACTGTGCCTAATTTATAAGTTAAACTTTATCATAAGTATGTATGAATAGGAAAAACACAGTACATATATACCAGGTTCAGTGCTATTCAAAATTTCAGGCATCCAATGGGGACCTTGGCATATATTCCCCATAGATAAGGAGGGACTATCCTTTTGGTGGATGGAACAAAACCAAAAGACAGAGCCATCTTATATTTTGGCGGAAATTCACCCGCACTCCAAGTGTTAATCTCTTACTGTGCCTAATTTATAAATTAAACTTTATCATAAGTATGTATGAATAGGAAAAACACAGTACATATATACCAGGTTCAGTGCTATTCAAAATTTCAGGCATCCAATGGGGACCTTGGCATATATTCCCCATAGATAAGGGGGGACTATTGTACATACCTCTTCACTTAAAGGAAGCACTTTATGGCTTCTCTTTGGCATATCCCAATTGCCAGCATCACTACTCTTGCACTCTGGGGCCATCTAGGATGGCATAAGATTTTATCACACTGCTCAGAATGGTGTGCAACTAAAAACTTAAGAATTGTTGTTGTTTTTCATCTTTACCCGAGGACATGCTTAGAGAGAAGAGGAGAAGGGAGAAGGAAGAGGAAAGGGGGAAGGGAGGGGAGGGAAAGGAAGGGGAGGGGAGGGAAAGGAAGGGGAGGGGAGGGATAGATATCCGTTGCCTTTTGTACATTTGTACATGCCCTGACCGGGGATGGAACCTGAAACTCAGGTATGTGCCCTGACTGGGAATCGAACCATCAACCTTTTGGTGCACAGGACGAAGCTCAACCAACTGAGCCACTCCAGCCAGGCAAAACATATGAATTGTTTATTTCTGGAATTTTCCATTTACTCTTTTCAGACCACAGTTGACCATGGCTAACTGGAACTGCAGAAAGCAAAAATGCAAAAGGTGGGGGACTACTATATTACTGTCATTACTTTCACAGTAACTGGTGGGGAATTTCTGGTTGCTGGAATTTTAAAGTTTCTATCCTGTCCCCTCCTATGACAACTATGCATTCCAAATGGACCCTCCTGAACACAGTGCAATATGGTATGAAAGCACAGCATGCCTCTTTCCTTGATGAATCCAATGTGTATTAATAGCTGATGAACAGAAATCTTAAGTAACAGCTATGATAGTAGACCAAATCTAGAAGCCAGAAGGAATTCAGGCCACAATGGCTCCTGGATATAAAAGCTTAACTACAAAGAATAATAACAAAGTCTACATAAATAATAAATGCCGACTATAAAGAAAATGGCAGCCATTTGAGTCTTTTGACCAAAAAAAAGAGAATATGATGAAGGAGTTGGGTAACTTTTGAATCAATGAAAAAAATAAACTTAAGTGACAGATATCAAAGAATCCCAAATGATCCTCAAAACACACGATCTGAATGATGTCATAATACACTTCTCTGTGCTAGAACCGAAGTGCAGAAAGGCACAATGCTGGCAAATGAAGAAAGAAGAAGGCATTCATTGGTGGGAGTACACAAATTTTTGTGCCTTTGTGGTGAAAGGCACATTAATTGAAAACTATTAATAATGGCAGTGACTGGAAGAACCAGTTCACTCAGAGTACCCTCATAACTAAAACGGATAAATGCACTCTATGGATTGAGAGCCTTCCTTTTCTTCAGGAATACATAGTCCAGTAAACAACTGAACATTGTATTTAAGATTTATACTTATACCACTATGCAGCCATTAGACTAATTTCATCCTATGATAGTCTACACTGAGCTCAAAGTACATCTCATCATTTGACATTAGGATCCAGGAAATTATCTCAACTGAGGCAGTAGTTAACTATTAAAGGTTGAAGAATGAACGTCTATACAGCCTTTGCACCTTTATAAAACTTAATGATACAGCATTACTTAGGGCAAATCAATTCAGTAATACTAAACAATGGACACCTCAGCTGACAACTACGGGTATCATTTTAAATCAAGCATTACAACTGCTTGCTAACCTAGTGTCACCTGGGTGCCAAACTGAGAGAAAAGCAGAGTACAGTGTTTTCACACCCAACCCTGTATAACACTCCTCTCATTGAGAACATTAACCAGTTTTTTTACTTTCCTTCTCCATCTACTTTAGTTGGTAATCACTTACATTAACAAGAGACTCCTTGAACTTGATATGAAGTCTGTAATTAGAAAGGGCAATGATGGCATCCTCAGCACGGCCCACATACTCTGTGCTTTCTCCATGAAGTTCAAGGAAAGGAACCTTCAAAATGGAAGCAGAAACCCTTCAAAGTTCTGAAGCAGTAAATCAAAGTCTTCACAGGTCAGATAAATGGATGATGAAACATCCTCTGTTACTCAAACTTAGAGCACAATACATAAGTGGGTAAGGGACTGGGTTTATGTCCACATAATTCGAATATACCTAGTTATTCAAATTCTAGACTTCTGAAGGAATGACACAGATGAACATCTCAAACAGTCAATTCTCAGGAAATAAGTCTTCTAAAAGGAAAGATGTTTTCCAGCTGCATTTCTACTATGTGCATGGCTTAGGAAAAAAGATATATATGATATAGTACATTACTTCAAACCATTAGCTCACTACATTATTACTATGATGCTAAATACTTTTCAATCAAAAGTGGCCTGTAATTACCTGAAGATTCTCATCCTCCCGGATCAGCTGCTTCCTGGGAAAGATCTGATTGGCCTGGATGCACTCAAGGCTGTGCCGAGTCTCTTCATCCTGAAAAAAAAAAAAAAAAGAAACTTTAAATAATTTCAAAACTCCCAGACACCCATATTTGGTTTTTCTGCCATGTTTTAATAGTGTAATCACAATGGGAGTGTGGTGATCAAAGTTAACAGGCGCCAGAACCGGTTTGGCTCAGTGGATAGAGCGTTGGCCTGCGGACTCAAGGGTCCCGGGTTCGATTCTGGTCAGGGGCATGTACCTTGGTTGCGGGCACATCCCCAGTGGGGGGTGTGCAGGAGGCGGCTGATCGATGTTTCTAACCCTCTATCCCTCTCCCTTCCTCTCTGTAGAAAATCAATAAAACATATTTAAAAAAAAAAAAAGTTAACAGGCAAAAAACTCAAGAAAAAAATAGCCTAACCAGTTTGGCTCAGTGGATAGAGCGTTGGCCTGTGAACTGAAAGGTCCCAGGTTCGATTCTGGTGAAGGGCATGTACCTTGGTTGCGGGCACATCCCCAGTAGGAGGTGTGCAGGAGGCAGCTGGTCGATGTTTCTCTCTCATCGATGTTTCTAACTCTCTATCCCTCTCCCTTCCTCTCTGTAAAAAATCAATAAAATATATTTTTAAAAAAATATTAATCCCCAAAAGTATTCCGTCTGATATATATTAGGCGCCTCTACTTAGAAAACACACTGATGCACACAAAAAACTTAATAAAAAAAAATCAAAGAGGTTAAGAGCATTTATAATAAGAAGTAATAAGTTGTTAGGACATTACCTGTAAGAGAAACAAGATATAGTAGTTTTGTTCTTTTTTTATTACCTTAAATTCTTATTTTTGAAAGATACATTCTGAATTATTTAAGAATGAAATGATGTGATAACTGGAATTTGTTTCAAAATAATTAGAAGGGGAAAGGTAAGGAGGAAATGAATGGGGCATAAATGAAAACAGGATTGTCCATGAGGGATGATTGATGAAACTGGGTAAGTGGGGGTTCACTATACCATTGTGTCTACTTTGGTTATATGTGTAATTTCCATAATAGAAAGTTTTTTAAAAATGCAAAGCGTAAGAACCAAATTTCTCAAACGGCAAGCATATGTGAAACACTATCCCTAGTTTAATATGTCTTATATTACAGAATAGATTTATTTCTATTAAGGCAATTTAAAAAAAAAAGCAGCAATAAATTCTAATCTAAATGGCACTTGAACTAATTATAACTTGTATTAAAATATAGTCTTTTACGTTATGAATCTTTACGGTATAGGAAGATAGGAGAGAAAAGCAATATAATGGAAAGTCTGAGTATAAATTATGATGCAATTTATTTACACAGCAAACTTTGTAAAATCAAAAGCCATATCATGCTCAGCTGACGGCACTAATAATTATAATCACTAGTGTTCGGACATTTCTGCATATGCTATTTATCACAATTCCAACAATTCTTTCTACCTCCTCAAAGAGGGAAACAAAATCTTACCTATAAATAAAACTTAAAGTTTTACTGAAGAGCACTCCTAATCTTAAAACCATAATAACTCTAACTAGTGTGGTTCTCAAAGTGAGGTCTATAGATTCTGAGACCCTTTCAAGGGGCTCTATGAGGTCAAAATCCCCTTCACAGTAATACTAAAACATTATTTGCCTTTTCTCACTGTATTGACATTTGTATTAACAATGCAAAAAGAATTGGTGGGTATAACTGCTGGCACCTTAGTACAATCAAGGCAGAGACCCAGCAGCACCAGGATGAAGGCCACATTGTTGCTAGCTATATGGAATACAATGAAGGACACCTTAGTACAGAACAGAGCTGCCTTAATAAGCTCATCTGCTATTCATTAGCACTGGCATATATGCCATATAAATATTAGGAAAACACTTTATCAACTCATTAAAATCTATGGGAAAACCAATAAAACATGATCTAGAAAAATAACATTAAGAGTTCATCTGTGTTTGGGTCTAAGATACATTGTTATGCCCATAAACTAAGAAGAAATGGGCCCAGCTTGAGATGAGAGCAGTTACCTCTCCTCCTTTTAATATGAATTTCTGCACAACTAGTTTTTCTGTTTTAGTTCGTTTTTAATTTTGAAAAGCACTTTCCATCCATGTCCCTAATGAAGCTTGAAATTAATATGACCTTTTCAATTCCTTTTTTGTGCACCAGCATGAAACAGTTTGCATCTAGGAAATATCACAAGGTAGAAGCAGGACAATATTACAGAGGACTGTTCTTTTTTAAGCCTTAAAGCTCTATTTACCTATTCTCAGGGTTGACAGAAATGTAGCTGACTCATTGCTGCATCTTTTCTGCCTAGACTGGCCTGGGTCCTAAATGGCCCACAAGTCACTGAAATGTCCATTAAATATCCATGCTCTCGGTAGTGAAAGGTGTGGGCAGGGGTGTGCAGAGCTGCTCCACCTTTTTTGGGATAAAAATACTGCCTTAAATAAAATGGGGAAGGTAGGGCATTGCTTTTATCCAGATAGGTAAATTCATAAAGAATATGTGACCATATCATAATTCTTCTACACACACACACACACACACACACACACACACACACACACACACACACACACAGTTTTCGTATCTTGCTTCCTCAAAAAGGAAGAAGAAACCTAGAGTCCAAGAATCATGGGTTTTAGTCTTGATTCCATTTACTACCTGACTGAAGGGAGACAATATTTAACTCACAGAATTAAAGCTAATAGAAATGAAACGGCTTTAATACACTAGAATATTCTATAATTATTACTATTAAGTAAACAACAAAAAAAGAAAGGAGACAAGCAGAGTTCTGGGATAGGAAAAGTGAAATGGTTTCTTACAACAACAAAAATGGGTAACTATGATGTATTAATGTTCACTTGTCAGGATAGAGTTCAATTCCAATTTTCTTCTAATTTGTTATTTACTTACCATGACAGGAGGCCCAGATTAGGAGGAGAGATCCCCGTCCCTTCTTCAATGTATGGCAAAGCTTTTCTTTCCTTTATGCCTGGATCTTTAAAAAGGGTGATGGGGGGAAGGAGAGGGACAAAATTAGCAATTTTCCCCCAGTTGGCCATACTCCAATTAAAGGAACTACATATACACAGACCCAAAGACCTGACCAGAGTCAGCCAAGAACATGTTGAATATTACCCAGCCAATTCTCACTAGTCAAATGCAAACTCCATATGCCTTTGTGAAAATCCTCCTGGATTTTGGGCAAAAAAAAATAGCACGGGCTCATATTCCTCATGTTGCTAGTAATATGAAAAATGTTATAAGCTTTGGATGAAAATAGTAAAGCAATAATAATTAAACCAACATGCAAGTACAAAAACAATACTCTTGTAATATTATAAAATGTTTTATCTGTAAGTTCAAAATGGATCTCCCTATCTGTGGGAACCAACCTGGCTTAGTAGGCAAAATTGCCTTATTGCCTCTATATTCTACATTCATCTGAAAATTCACATAAACTGTGCTAATACCTTTACCAGGTTTTTTTGTTGTTGTTAATTCTCACCCGAGGATATTTTTTCCATTGATTTTTATAGAGAGAGTGGAAGAGGGGGGCAAGGGGGAAAAGGAAAGGAAGAGGACAGCGGAGGGAGAGAAACATCAATGCGAGAGAACACATTGATTAATTGACTGATGGCCTCCCACACGCACAGGAGCCGGTGATCAAACCTGCAACTCAGGTAAGTACCCTTGACTGAAAATCAAACCCAGGACTCTCTGGTGCTCAGGCTGATGCTCTAACCACTGAGTTACACGGGCAAGGCTCTACAGAAGTTTTAACACCTGCAGGCCGACATTCCCATGTGTGCTAATCCACACTTCAGCCTTGTGCACTTGTGCAGTGACTGATGAAGGAGATGTTTCTAAAGCCCACTTGTGAAGAGCCTAACATGCCATGTTCAAGGTTCTGGAACAAGAAAATGATTTGGATCTAAAAACTTAAAACCAAAACAACTTCTCTTTTCAATAATATTAGATTATAATTTCCTAGATTAAACAGATGGCAGAAACAAGAGGCAGTCATTAAGACTTAGCCAGTAAGAGATACACACAGGTCTATGAAAAGGACAGGACTGGAATTAATATCCACACTGAAGACAGAGCTAACAAATTTTTAGAACTTGTTTTCTATTTAAAAATCCAATTAGTGCCACTAAGTCTAGTAACATGGCCTTGGTTCTCATACAGATATATAACAACAATTTAAGAAAATTCAAAATAAGAACCAAGTTTCAATTTAAAAGAACTTCATGTTGTTGAGGACCATCTATTAAAAAAAAAAAAAAGAGTAGGGCTACACCTCATTCAATCTCCACTTAAATACAAGTTTCCAGGCACAGTATATTATATTATGGCACAATTACATATGAAAAAAGCAGTGAAAAAACGTTTCAAGACTTACCATTAAAATGAAAATATAAGAGCTCATCTCAATAATTGTGTACATATTGTGTACAAGGACAAACAGATGCCCCAAATTAATCTGTAAATTCGTTTTACCTGCCTCAAAACAGCACAGTAGGCGGGAGGGGAGACTTACCAAGAACTTTGTCCCAAGAACTTCTTCTACTAGAAGGTTTCACAAGAAAATCTGCAAAAGAAAAACCAGTATTTTTATGAAAAATATCCTAAGAATCAAGTTAAACCACTTAGATCTGCCCACAAGACTTTTCTCTACAAGGTTGAATGCCAGGATAATACATTGTCTTTAAAAATGATACAGTGTGGACTATTTAGTCAACTGCAGATTTTAGAATGCTTAATTGTCCACAAAATGGACGCAATCAGGCCTCAGCATGCCTTTAGAAACTGCAGAACTATACGTACAGACAAAACTTTCCAGGAACCTACAGCTACTCCTATTTAAATGTTTTCCTCGATCAATAAAGCATCACTCTGATAGCTTCTCAGACAAACCTTTGCCACTACAGGAACAAGTACTTTAAAAAACTATATGACTACAAGAGATCTAGGCTTAGACTTGAGAGTTTAAGGTGTTTCAACACAGAATTAGCTTCTACCAAGGGATCTTTTATGTGTAAGCAAAAATTGGTCAGGGGAGGTGGGGTGGGGTTGGGGGTATAGTCTCAATACAAAGAATTACTGTCACAACTAGGCAACAATCTGACCTTTACAGAAATAAAAGACTAATCAACCTGATTCCTTTGTAAGGCTCTCTCAGTATTTGCAGACAACTCATCCCTTTGGGCTGTTTGATTACATGACATGAATTCACATATGTGAACAAGACTATACAAAATATCAAAATCCTAAAATGAAGGAGTCTGTCAGTACAGCACATTATTCCCCTAACCTCCAGAAACATTTTTTTAAACTAAGAACCATAAAAGGGAGACCTAACCATGCAATAATAAAGTGTTCTAAACATTTTATAAGTAGTATTTTTGCTCCCAGTAATTTAATTTAAATTTTGTAACTCATGCCATATTAACCACATACTATATTAGAAAGGAAATAAAGCTATTCATAATATGCAACTTCAAATACAAACCATACCAGAATCAAGACTGGTCTTATTAACTTGTTTAACAAGGTACAGCACAGAACAGCAGGAAAGTTGAAGGGATTTGTAAATCTCCAAGTCCTTTTCTTACTAGAGTATAATTTTTGCTGAGTATTTGAATACTGAAATACACATTATAAATTTTTTTCCTTTTATTTTTCCTTTATACTATAGGATGATCCTGGACTAGTAGTTCAGATATGAATTAAGAGCCTAATAACTCAACAATAGTGAAAATGCAGAGGAAGCCACCAAAGTGAAAGTATTAACTGCTTAAATGTATGTCCACCAGTTAATACGGGGGGAAATGTCATTAAATTCAACAGACAGGTCATGTCTAGGGGTAAGAATGAATTGATAGTGCTTGATTTAATTCAAAGAATCACTATACCTACTGTAAGAATTGCCTGATATGTCTTAGAAATTATTTGATAATTTATTCTGTTAAAGATATGAGAAGTCCATTAATACAGAAGTGTTTGTGTGAAGTTTCCAAAGGTGTAAAGTTCCAAGAGGTGGACCAAACAACAGGTTGATTCAATACAACAAAAAGGTTCAGGCAGGTCTACTGCAATGACACTTCTTCTCAATAACTGTCACCCCAAGCCACAAACATCTGTCATTGCGAAACATTTCCAACAAAAATTTAAAACTGCCCATGCCTCTTAGGACGATTTGCCAGATAAAGGCCATGTCTCTGGTGCTCCAAGTTACCTTCCCATGATACCAGCAGGTATCCCATGATATGTCATGTATACCTCAGAAAGTAAGAGCAATTATGTTTGGGTGACCTTGAATATTCGTATACTTGAAGAGGTAAAACATAAAGTGGTTATATTAAATCCAAGCAACCTAAAGTGTCCAATCACAAGTGTCTTAAACACATTAACTATTGATGAACAGAGATAGCCAGGGAAGTGGGGTGGGGCAGGGATTAACTATGGTCACTGTTAAGTTTCATCTCTGAAGGGGTAAAAAATAAATCTGAAATTACCTGAAATAAGGTAAAAACTATTACAGTTACATATTATACTATGGACAGGATTTCAACTATTATAAGAGAAAACCCTAAAAAGTAAAAATTAATAGACTTGAATATTAAATACTATAATATCGGATATCACTGTGCAGCTGCATTAGACAGGAGAACCTAACACAAAAAACCTTTATGGAAGATAATGAGATAATGACCAAGAGGAAGGGCACGGAGGCCCTAAGGAGGCCAAGAATGGAATAGCTTATGTGATTGATCATCTGTATGCCACCTACCATATTAGCTACAACAAGGGCAAAGAAGCATGCCAATTTAGACCATTTCCATAATAAAAGATTCCAAACAACAAAATGTTGTGGGGGGTTGGAGTGGGGAATAGGGGGGAGAGTTAAGCAGTATTTGGGGCGGGGGGAGTTAAGCGGATACATTTTAACTTCAAAAGAACACTGGAATATTTTTTGCATAGACCTGTCTCCCATCCAAATGCAGGATAATTAAGAGTTCAACACTGGCCCTAACCGGTTTGGCTCAGTGGATAGAGCTTCAGCCTGCGGACTGAAGGGTCCCAGGTTTGATTCCGGTCAAGGGCATGTACCTTGGTTGTGGGCACATCCCCAGTAGGGGGTGTGCAGGAGGCAGCTAATCAATGTTTCTCTCTCATCAATGTTTCTAACTCTCTATCCCTCTCCCTTTCTCTCTATAAAAAATCAATAAAATATATATATTTAAAAAGAGTTCAAAACTGAATAATTATAAAGGAATTTTTAAATTTTCTGCATAAAAGAACACATGCACTACGTATTAAGAAACATTCATAGCAAACTTGAGTACAGAGGCAATATAAAATAATTCAGAGGTTTGAAATTGGTCTTTTATTTTTTAATCCTCTCCGAGGATATGTTTTTATTGATTTAAGAGAGAAGGAGAGGGAAGGGGAAACATCAATCTGAGAGAGAAACATGGATTGGTTGCCTTCTGCACGCACTCCAACCAGGGATCAAACCTACAACCTAGGTATGTGCTCTGACTGGGAATCAAACCTGCAACTTTTTAGTGTACAGGATGATGCTCCAACAAACTGAACCACCAGGGCCAAAAGTGTTAACTTTTAAGTAGTAGCTTCACAAAACTGTCACTAATTTGGGCAAGTTTTTCAGCTTTGGAGTTTCCTCATTTATGCCTAATAACTTTTCGGATATCTGAGGGATGACATGACCTTCCCAAACTAGGATTCTGTGGTATGTTGGATAGATTATTCCATGATGGAAAGATGATTTAATCAGCAGCAATGACCAAAACCCAAGCATTTATCAGCTGAATAAAACTACTGTGGCTTGGACTTATTCCCTGAACAGGAGCCCAAACTTCAGCTTTTCTAAAACCCTTGTTGAAGTGAACTATAAATGAAAATAGAAACAAGGAAAGTTCAAAAAGAACAGATGCCTTCACCTACCCTAAATCCACTGTGGTGGAGATTCACTTATGTGACAAATATTTTGGGGTGATAGGCACTTTTAGGCACTAGGTAGGGATGCAGCAGTGGAGCTGCAGTCCTAAGTGTCAACTGTAATATTCTCAACAGGGCTGAATGGGCTCAGTGTGACCCCCCCCGCCCCCCCCGCCCACTACTTATTAGGATCATGCTTTGAAGAAGGTAAAAAAAGGAACAGTAAATATGAAATTGCGGCAGTGTCCTGATTCAGTGATATCTCCAAACAAGATGACTTAAAAGAAAAAGATCTATGTCTCTTTTCTACGTCTTTTGGAAACCCTAAGTAAAGTCTGCGAGTTTTCAGGGATCCAAACGCAAACTCATCATCAGTGTACTGCATTCCTCTGCCAGCTGCAGGACACAGATAAACAGCTAAAATATTATCATTTCCTAAGCAAAACCCACAACCTTCTACTTGAGAAACAAAATCCAGTATGTTGTCAGAAACCATTAGCTGAACTCCATGTTATAATCACATTTCTGTATCAAAAAGTCTTTTACTGATAATAAGTCTCTTGAACCAGCAACACTGTAATAAGTAAAATCTCCATTTCAATAGATAATGACCAAAGATCAATCTTGGTAATTCTGTGACCATGAGTGGTTCATTTTTTTTTATTTTTTTTGGCAAAGGGGAGAAGGGACAGGGATGGAGATAGACTTTTTTTTAGTGTGGGAGATGCTCTGAATACCGTACTTCCCTTCCTCCTTCTAAAATCAATAAATAAAATTTTTAAATAAAAGCCAAGCAAGATCATTTTATCTAAGTGCCAGAGGTAGTTCAATATTTATTATTGCCCCAGGCTAGGAAAAATGTTTCCTGACTTTTGTTTCTTTGATTGGTTCTGAAGTCTACCTTTAGGAAATTAAGAGAAGGCAAATTCCTGCACACTCATTCATGTCCTACTCGCTCTCAGTTACCTCTGGTGAACAGGAAAGAAGTAACTTGTATTCCCCTGTACCCCATAGGATAAATTGAAGAGACAGGACAGAGAGAGAGAAAAGAGAACCTTATAATGACTTCTGCTCTTCTTAACATCCTATATAATAAAAGGCTAATATGCAAATCAACCGAAAGGTGGAATGACCAGTCACTATGACGTGCACTGGCCACCAGGGTGCAGACACTCAACACAGGAGCTGCCCCCTGGTGGTCAGTGCGCTCCCACAGGGGGAGCGCCACTCAGCCAGAAGCCGGGCTCATGGCAGTCAGACATCCCCTGAGGGCTCTCAGACTGCAAGAGGGTGCAGGCCGGGCTTTGGGACCCCTCTCCCCCAAGCGCATGAATTTTGTGCACCGGGCCTCTAGTATCATATGATTATCTCTTAACATGAGATTGCAGACTCTGTAACTGCCTCCTACTGATTAAAGAACAAAATTTTAACTGCATTTTCTGGAAGTAAACTACACTAAAAAAATAGTTATCAGTATTATCCCAAACCTAGCTAATCTGCACATTGCTTATTAGTATATTTTTTTTAAATATATTTTATTGATTTTTTACAGAGAGGAAGGGAGAGAGTTAGAAACATCGATGAGAGAGAAACATCGATCAGCCGCCTCCCGCACATCCCCCACTG